CTTTTATGCGGTTAGAACGCCTTAATGCAGTTACTTCAGGTACTGCAGGTAAATTTGCTTGCATTTGGGTTACGTCAGGTAATATCCGTTGTGTTGGATTTTCTCTAGGTTCACTGTTTCTAGGAATGTGTTTTGTTTTGTGTAGTATATTGAATGTTGGTCTTGTTGTGTTTTGATTTGTATGTGTTTCTCTATAAGTGAATTATGACTGTTAAGACAATATATAAATTAGAAAATAGAATCAAACAAAAAATACAGAACAAGGATCAAACTCCAACAGATAAAACAACATAACGATGGACTGAATTCACATACGTAGGTCACCAAACCAAAAAACTAACAAACATCTTCAAACTCCTGAACATCAACATCACATACGAGTCAAACACGAAAATAAACAGAAAATAAATAAATGAAAAAGAAGAAGAAAAAACCTAAACGGTGTGTACAGCATATAATGCTCGGACTGCAACAAATTCTATATCGGCCAAACCAAGAAAAAACTGATCCAAAGGTACGATGAGCACAAAAAGGCATACATCAACCCAATAGTATATAAATCAAACCTCGCAACACACGCCATACAAAACAAAGATAACTTTACCCGACCAGAGAACATAAAACTCATAAAACAAGTCAATAAAGAAGACCGTATGGACATCTGGGAAAACTTACACAAAAGAATACACATTCCTAGAAACAGTGAACCTAGAGAAAATCCAACACAAAGGATACCTGATGTACCCAAATACAGACAAATTTACCTGCAGTACCTGAAGTACCTGCACTGAGACGTTCTAACCGTATGAAAGAACGAACAAGAGGATGAAACGTTCATTTTGAGTAGAGCCATGAAGATGATAGCACAGCTATCCGATTTGAGATTATACCAACCCAAATATTACTAATTTAGTTGCAAAAAAGGAGTACCAACCTTCACAGTATTGAATAAATTGCCTGAAATTTCTTCCTGCGGTTTTTATTAAGGGGGTCCTTGAAATTGTGCTCGATTTTCTAGGGGTTCGTGGACTGAAAAATGTTAAGAAACGCTGAGCTACATGATACATTGTTTTTCAATCTGATCTTACATTTGCACTTGACCAAAACCGACAAGGGTGCTAATGCAATTTCGTATTTCATTTAGATAATTCAACATGGATCGTGTGTCAACAAAAACCCTTATTAAATAGCTCAGTGAAAAATATGTACATTGAATAAAGATGAAACTACAGGGTGTTACAGTAGAAACCACTCGTTCCGTATAAGCGTACGGGAATCCGTGATTTCTCGGATATGACCGATTCTGATGCCTGTGCGCGTCCGTAAAATCGACTCGCTCCTGGACTATACCAGCACGATTTGTAACGGGGCGCAGACCTTGGTGGGCGCTCCGGGCCCCCTTCCCCCCCAGCCCAGCGGCCGCGGGGGGATAGCCGGAGGTCCGATCTGTCCCATGGTGCCGCTGATTCACAACGACCCGTTCTATTGTTCGCCCTTCGGAAATCCGTATTACAGGTAAGGCGTTCTAGATCAAAGTTTGAGCACACGCATTTTAAGTTATATAAGAATCAGAAAGTTTTCCAACTTTTTCGGGATATTTTGTCAACAATCACAGAATTTAAATTGAAAGTGTATATTTTAAGGCCTTCTATTTCTCCATCTTGATACAAAAATACAATGAACGCCGAAGTAAACGAAAATTCGTAATGGAATTGAATCAGATATCATTCACAGGATTCCTTGACAATATAATTAATGAAAGAAGTAAAACTTCACTTACATGAAACACTGTCATCCTCACTGGTAGACATCGATGTTTCGCCGTAAGGCACTTGCCTTATCAGCTCTTCAGTAGCAAATACGGATAACATTATAAGAAAAAACACTCTCAACTCGTTCATAATTACGACTTTTTGTCGCGGAGTGGGTTGAATCCCGTAAATAACATTTATTCGCTTATTTGATTAAATCCCAGCCATAGGAATCTCCACTCCTGATACGAGAAAACATTTGGTAATTGTCAGAGTAGTAGAACAAATTCGAATCTCAGAGTATATATAATGTGTTATAATTTTAATCCAGTATGAAGTGTTATATTAATGGACATTCCTTGAACTTTATCTCACAAAGAACCTTTCGTTAATGAATTTTTCTTGCAGTTTTCATTTGTTTTATGGCAATATTGTGAAGACTGATTTGTTCACTGTCAATTGAATGTAATTATGTTATTTTTTCAGCATATTTTCTTAAACCTTTCCTGTGATTGAGTGTGTTGAAAATAAAGTGCTATATATCTATAACTTACATTCGATAACGCTACTAGTTTAAATAGTCCCACTGTTAGAGAGAATAATAGTTGTAAAACGATAAGCTCTACGTTAAATCACAGATATGGTTTAACGACTTGGCCATCCATCTCGAATCTTGGCGGCGCGTTATCCATTCCTTTACATAAACTTTGGAGGCGGCCTAGGAAATGGGACACCTGTTGAGGTTTCTTCGCCACCACTGCCCCGACCACCCCTTTCCGAATCGGGGAACGGTTCGAGACGCGTGAAATGTTACTACGGGGATTCGACGTCGATCGAAAGTCATACGTCAAGTCGTATGACTTTTTTTGAAAGCAGCGTGAATGAAACTTGTTTAAAAGATAGTTGTTGAAAATACTGTATCTGTAGAGTAGGAAGGGTGAATGTTACAGCACTTAGGCCACATGTGACTCATTGTACATCCTCCTGAGGAGTTGTCCTCCTACGTCATCGTCCATCCTGTCCTTTCCAGGTAGGTGGACAGGTCACTAGGAGACATCTTCTTTATATCGGCAGGTGTAGGCCAAGACGCGCCGAACACACACTCTCTTGTTGACGATAACTCCGGACACTTGCGTAAGACATGCCTGACAGTATCATCTTCCTGTTCACACATCCTGCATAGAGGTTCGTCCACTAGCCCCGTAATATGGAAGTGTAGGTTTTCCTGGTCATCGCCCGATATTTCTTCGGCGCCAGCTTCCCAGGGTGATACTGGCAAGACTGCATCCTTTGATTCCTTCCTATCTAGGGATTCAGCATAGGTGTGGTACTTGGATAAAGAGTCTGAAATGCGATTACCATGGAAAATACTGTGTAGTGGTGTGTTTGAAACTAATTTTATCGAAGCTACGTTCCATAGTATTGCAGCACGGTGAAGAGCAACTGAACGAATTTCTGACATGTCTGAAGTCCTTCAACACAATAAACCAATTCGTAATGGAACGGGAAACTTAAGCAACGATTACTTTCTTGGATGTACTGCCTACAGACTTTGGGTTGTGGAGTGGTCAAGAAACTAGCACACACAATCACAGATAAATAGATAGATATGAGAATAAAATCTCCAACCACCAGACCAACAAAAGATGGAGGTTATTGAAACATTCGTTGAAAGGTTGCGACGAATCTTGGAATTTGGGAGCCTCCCGAAAAACCTATATCATCTGAAAAATATCTTCAAAGGGAATGGGTAATGTGTGCTGACAACATGATTCAGGAAAGATAGGCCAGTGAATGGAAAAGTTTCGCTGCCCTACGTTGAGAATCTTTTTGACCGGATTGGAAAAATCCTGGAAAATCACATTCTGAAATTGATATTCTGGTCAACCAAAACCGTCGGAGAGAGTGAAGGTTAGCTAAGGACCCCAGAGATTCTTCAGTATAATCGTAGGTACACCGAATCCTCTGTAGCTGTGGATGGGTTTACTACGAAATAAAGTTTGAGAACTCTAGTCTCTAAACACAAGTTCAGATCAGCAGTAGCAGAACATGTACTCCAGGGAATCTGGGTGGTCATTCTGTATAAACTTTTCTTCCAGTTCATCGACCTGAAAACGTATTATCGAGGGTCAGTCGCACTGGTACTAAGCTATGAGGAGGAGCCCTATCTTGTTGAAAAACTACCATATTTTGCAATAGGGGATTTCCAGTTGTTATGCTCGGCATAACTTGATAACTCAGCAAATTAAAATATCATCCATTTAGTTTGAAAATATGAATAATTGCAGAAGTTAACGCTAATTACAGAAACTGTGGTTTCGGGTTTTACGGCCATAGCCTGTTGGAATTTTTGTGACGTTTCGCTAGCGCATGTGGCTGGCATCTTCAGAGGTCCGTTATCGCTAAGGTTATAGGTACCTCCAACAACATTCCAGTTACAGTAGTTTCACCATCACCTCCGAATTTTAAAAAGTAGTTTTAGAAAATGATGCTGAACTTATACAGACTAAAATGAGTATCTCTCACAAGTAATGAGAAAAATTAACCACATTCATGTATTGGTTTATTTTCCTCTTTATATTATATAATAATTTGACTCAAACATAAAATTTGTTCATTATTTTCACAGTCAAAAACATACTAATTCACACTAGATGCTCTAACTGTTCTCTATTAACTGCTACACATGAGTCTGAGTTAGTCTCCAAACTATGTCCGACATTTTGGAGCATGTCAAGAGTTACTTTATGTCGTTGTTTTTCCTGCAAGAGGGCGCCTTAATTATTAGTTACGTAGTGAATTACAGTACAATTAACTCAACGTCATTTCACTATTACACTGACAGTACAATACAAAAACCCTAACTAAAACTTTAGACTAATGCTCAAATATCTATTGCCTTATTAGCTTAATTTAGCACTGCACTTTCCGAACTAGACTGCCTCTCCTACGTTGCGGTAAAGCTTATATACCCCAATGGAACTCTCTCTAAGAGCCTGGAATAACTCTTGATTAGACACGGCGTTCTAGAATGTTCGAGAGGTGACACAAGTGGGTCTGAACGTGACCTTGACTAAATCGCAGTCGATCGGAGAAGTCCAGCGCCGGCCGGCGTTAGTTTTTTCAGGGGATAATTTACAACAGTATATTCCATAATTGTCTATATTTATATTGATCGCTAGTTCTTTCTCTCTGATACTTTTAAATAATGTTAGAAAGATTTTGACAACTGTTTCTGTTTTTTTTCAGATCTCTCCCTGTTCCAAGGAGGCACACCCCTTACTTCGGCCAACCGGATTTTCGAATATATGAACTCAACAAAAGGCTGCAGCAAAGAACTGAGGTAGCGTGTATAAGTTTGAATTTTTTCCATTCTTTCATTTGTATTGCATGGAGATAAACAAGCGCTATAAAACATCCTTGAGACAACAGTTTTTCTGAAGAAAGGTGGGCTGGGTAACAGAATCACTTTTTTCTTAAAACAATACAATTGTTTTCTTGCCGACGTTTCGAATTTATACAGAAAACATTGACTTCAAATGTTCGAACTCGGCACCATTAACTTGCATACATATGTATTAACAAGCTTCACAAAGAATATCGGGTTCCAACCATCACCATAGAAAAAGTCCAGCGGAGTCAAATCGGGAGATCTGGGTGGCCATTCTGTAGATTCTGTCGATCCATAAAGTTATCATCAAGAAACTGTCGTACTGGTATTACGTAATGGGGAGAAGGAGCCCCCTTCTTGCAGATTTTCTAAGTTCGTAGCCCAAAATCACAATTTAAACCCGCCTTTAAATGCATATTATTAAACGAAAGTAGATCAAATAATAACTCGAATTCAAACAGGGCTAAGCTGCCAGTGACTATTTCATAATAACTTTGACTTCAACTTCAGCAGTAACCAGGTGATGAAATTGCATGTTCAGGTTGACCTAATTTGGAATTGAATAAAAAAGAACATTTGATTCCTCTGATATTGCTTATTGTTGTAATGTGTTACAAGGTTGGAAAGAGAATTGAAAGACCGTTTAAATAAACTTTAAATTTACCCCTTTTAAGCTATTCTTAGTTGCGATCTGTAATGTGGAATGTTCCTCCTGACGAAAATCAAGTAGTTTTCATAAAAGACCTCTAAAACAAGGCATTTTAAACTTATCATTTCAACCTTATTCTTTAAAAAAATATTTAAATACTTAAAAAAGGGGAATGAAATAATCCATTCAACATTTAAAGGGATTCGTTTCTATTTCACCATTTGGCAACATCGGTTATAGCTAATAAAGGACAATGAATCTGTTACGTGTATGAGACAAACAAAGATGACATATTTCAGAGGCGTGCTGTTCTGTTTTCTTGTGTTCCGAGACATTCTGTGACATGTGACATTTTGTGCACCTAACCTATCTTCCTCTATATAAATAAATAACAAAACAACTGTTGTTTATGTGGCTTGTGGAGGTGGTATTGAACTATAACTGTTGCCAATATGTGAATTAGAAACAAATCCCTTCAAAAATTAAAACCCAACATTTGAAACATCAATTTGAATACTTTTCGAAGTGAACTTGTAGTGAACTTGAAAAACTCATGAATCAAACTTAACTTTATTTTGTTCAAACTTGCATTTGCTGTAATAACCCAAATTGAGGAACATTCCCCATTCAGTACCTTATCAGATTTTATTTTAATTATAATTTAACATTACAATCTATAATTTCAATGGGCTTGCTCGTAAATAAATGAATAAATAAATAAATAATGCACTTTTTCATTGGTCACTGCTTGTTCGTAATTTTTTTACCAAAAACAACACCGTAATCATGCGCCTCAGCCACCGTATTCACCAGATTTAGCCCCACGAGACTTTTTTCTATTCTCAAGATTGTAAAGACCCATGAAAAAACGTCATTTTGCGACGATTGAGGACAACTTTGAAGGAAAAAAAAAGAGAAATGCTGATTATATGAATTCCATGACGAATAAATTATGTTCTGTTACATTCTATTCGTTAATGTATTTTTAAGTTACACAATTTTTGTTCTCGGGATACTGAAGTTTTCGAAACGGTTGTATCCCGATCTCAACGGCGAATAAATGTTTCAACTGTAATTTTAATTTCAGGATAGTGATAATTTATGGTGGGATTCTTTTGCAACGGAGTTTTTCGAAGACGACGCCTCCTTAACCCTAGCATTTTGTTTAGAAGATGGCCCTAAACGATACAGTGAGTATGAATTCAACACAAATCAAATAAAAATGTTCTAATTATCTAGCATTTCGAAGTAATTTCTCATTGATTATATTTCTGTTTGCTTCGATAAATTGACAATTTGAACGCTATTCCTTCAACGTATGTGTAGTCTTTACGAAGTCAATCCGAACAGCTAAATGAAAAACTAATGTATCGGGTCTGATAAATTTACTATTTAATACCATATAAAACCTCCCACATAAAAATAATGATTACACCTCGTAAATTATACCACGCCGTCCATGCCAAATAAAGAAACTGCCGACGTTCGGTAACTATTTAGTTTTTATGTTATTCGAATTGGCTTCGTATATACTATACTATACAAGAATTATTTCTTCATAGATAATTACTGTTGTTTTGCTTTCAGCGATTGGAAGGACGTTAATCCCGAGGTATTTTAGGAGTATATTCGAAGGGGGAGTGACTGAGCTGTATTATAATATGAAGCACCCTAAAGAGTCCTTCCACAACACTAGTATTACTCTGGACTGTGATCAGTGCACTATGATTACACATCATGGTAAACCGTTGTTTACCAAGGTAAGCCAAGTAACTCATTTCATTATCACATTCCTTTACGACGGCTCTATTTCGTTTCGAGTCCTGCTGCCAAATTTCCACCGTACGCCACTGAACGCTGACGTATTCCACTCCCAAACGAGGCTTTCAAATAACTCCGGCTCATCAGCCCGTCGCGTTATTTTTTTTTCAAAACTCTTTCAAGTTACCGTCTCCAACACTCTGGATTTTTTCGTGTGCTGACCCTTCTAGTAACGACATATTTCTTCAAGATGCACAAAAACCTGCAGGAAAATTCTCCGAATTTTTATACTGCGAAGGCCATATCCACATGGAAAAGAGATCTCGTAAAGTGTATTCCTCAAATAAAAAGATGAAGCTTCCTACCCCCTTTCCATGTTTCAGATTATCACGATTTCTTTTGAAAACGGAACCTCCGATCAGGCAAATTGTTTTTTTCTGTAAAATCTTGCAACTTCAGGTTAGGCCGTGTACACATGCAAATTTCACAGCTATTGGACTATTAGTTTGTGGGATAAAACATTCTGAGTGAAGCTATTTTTGTTAGTTTGAAGAAAATGGATAGAAAGGAATTACGTGTGTTGATAGATCATTGCTTTTTGGCGACAAAGAAAGCCTGTTGAGGCCAAGGCTTGGTTTGATGAACATTATTCGGACTCTGCACCAGGAAAATCAAACGTTGAGAAGTGGTTTACTAAGTTCAAACGAGGTGAAATGAGCATTGAGGACGATGCACGAAGTGGACGCCCAAATGAGGATGTTACCGACGAAAACATCAAAAAAGTTGATCTAGATAGCTGAGACTTTAAGGATATCAGTGGGGGCCGCGCGTGCTCGCAATCGACCAAAAACAACAACGAATTGATGATTCTGAGCAGCTGTTCCACAAAAAACCCAAATTCATGCGCTGATATGTGACAAGGGGTGAAACATGGCCCCATCATTTCACACCAGAATCAAAACGGTCGTCATCTGAGTGGACTGCACGTGGTGAGCCGACTCCAAAGAGTGCAAAGACGCTGGCAAGGTTATGGTATCAGTATTTTGTGATGCACATGGTATAATATTCATCAACTATCTTGAAAAGGGAAAAACCATCAACAGCAACTATCACATAGCGTTATTTGAACGTTTGAAGGACTAAATCGCGGTAAAACGGACCCATTTGAAGAAAAAGAAAGTGCTGTTACGTCAAGACGATGTACCGTGTCACAAATCAATGGAAACAATGGCAAAATTGCATGAAGTGGGCTTCAAATTGCTTTCGCATCCATGTTGTTATCCAGATCTGGCCCCCAGCGACTTTTTCCTGTCTTCAAACTTCAACAGAATGCTCGCTGGAAAAAATTGCTTCGATGAAGAAGTAATTATTGAAACTGAAGCCTATTTTGAGGCTAAAGACAAATCTTACCATAAGGCAACTATCTGTATCTGTAGAGTAGGGAGGGTGAGTGTAAGCCCACAGCACCTAGGCCAAATGTGACCCATTGTACATCCTCTCGAGGAGTTGTCCTCCCACGTCATCGTCTGTCCTGTCCAGGAAGGTGGGCAGGTCACTGGAAGTCATCTCCTTTATATCGGCAGGTGTCGGCCAAGATGAACACACACTCTCTTATTGACGATAACTCCGGGCACTCGCATAGGACTTGCCTGACAGTCTCATCTTCCTGTTCACACATCCTGCATAGAGGTATGTCCACTAGCCCCATATTAGGGAGCTGTTTCCTTAGTTGACAGTGGCCAGTTAGAAATCCTACTGTTAAGCGTAGATTTTTCCTGGTCATCGCCAGATATTTTTTCGGCGTCAGCTTCCCAGGGTCGCCCAGGGTGATCCTGGCAAAATTGCATCCTTTGATTCCATCCCATCTCTCTGGGGATTGAGCATGGGCTGGTTCCGCAATTGTCGAAGTCATCAGGCCGTAGATGCCACTGGGTTCTAAAATTCTTAGTCCAGCCGCTTCCTTGGCTAAAGAGTCGGCAATGCGATTACCTTTACACCTCGGGGTAATGTCATTATCTACCGAGGCTTTGGCTAAATCTTGGTGGCACTCTAGTACTAGCCCTGAGGTAACATGTCTGTTCAAAGCTAATAGGGCTTGTCTGCTGTCAGTGCAGGTTGTTATGTTTTTGCCAGAAATTCCTTTCATAGTTATTTCTTTTGTGGTGATTGAGATACCAGCCAGTTCTGTTTGTACCACGCTGGTATCATTTCCCATTTCTCATTTAATCCTTAGTGATCTGGAGTACACTCCACATCCTGAGCCTTCTTTGGTTTTTGAACCGTCTGTATATAGACAACTTTGCTTCAAATGTATCTACGCTCTGTTTCTTATCCTTTATGAGATCCTTATAAAGACTCGAATTTGAATAAATCGGTGTATTTACATCATTCTTTGCGTCTCTCTCTGTTTTTCAATGGTCGTTGCTTCCTACTCGGGCGCATTTGGAAAGACTCTCTGTTGATAATTAACAGGAGCTTCGTCAGGGGGCGCAGCGTCTTGGTGTAAGCAATGCTACCACCCTATTTATTTTTTCTTATAATAGGGGAGCAAAATAAGGATTTAATAGAGCGTCGCAGAGACATATTAGGTTTCAAAGCTTAAATGATAAGAACGAAAATTTTATATAATATATACCTTTTCATCGGAAGATATACCATTTCATCGGTGGGGAAAGCAACTATAGATTTTTAAATATGTAAAAAAATACTGTTACATGGACATACTCGAGCGCGTCAAATTTTCTAAGGGGGTGTTAAGTGCAACAAAAAAAGCTCTCATTCAATAATCTGATGATTTCGATCTGGCGCAAACTGGCGGCCATTATTATAACGTGCAAAAAAATTCGCCATTTTGAAATACTCAAGCGCATCAGATTAAGATATATATCGTTCATCTTTATATTCTAGACGTGCTGTCTCATAATCTGACGATTATCTAGAGGGATTCGCCTAATCTGACAAAAAAAAATAATTTTTTTCAATTTTTTAAATCATTGAACTTAATTAATATTTTGAACATTTTATTGAAACAACGATAAAAATAAAATGAAAACAACAATAAAAATTAATTGGCGCTCCTGGGCGACTTCATTTAATTAATTAAAAAGCTCAGGAAATAGCATGCAAATAAATAAGTTTATGTTTTTTAAATGGAATACTTGTATAACATACATTAAGAGAATAGTTTTGAAAAATACTCAAAAAAATTAATTTTTTTATAATCAATTGATTAATTTATCATCATCTTCATCACGAACGAGTCTCTGGGATCACCTGTGATCAGCTGTGATGGCGTCATGGCAACAGAATTCTGAGTGGGGATGGAGTGAGAGAGTAATAGATAGATAAAAAGTGAAAGAGGAATAGAAACTCGGAGAGTTTCACACAGCTGCACGCATTAAACTTAATCGACGAATTTTTGTTATTTCGGCTTGTGGAAATCGTCAGATTATATATTTTTCGTTATCCTTGAATTATTTCCTTCAAAATGAAAAAAATTAGCTACGCTCGAGAATGTCGAAATGACGTTATTTTTTTACAACTTTGCTGTCCTTCCCTTTCTTCACGTCACTCTCAAATTGTCAGATTACTGGAATATACACTTTTTAGCAGGTAATTAACTCACCCTACCTTAATCTGACGCGCTCGAGAATTTCTCATGATCAATTTTTTTTACTAATCTGATCCTCACAGGCGGCCTTATATATGGGGCTCATATTTGGTGGAGGTACCTAACCGGGTCCAAGGTATCCCCCTGTATATTAATCTGCCCCGCTTTAGTAAATACTAAAATCCGCGCTTGGGCTCCCCTATTATTACATTTTTGTTATGAATAAAAAATAAAAAAAAACTATATAAAGTTCGCCTCCTCTTCGGTAGACGTTTTGATTTTTTTTTTCAAATACATTTCACGTCACACTTGTTGTAACTATTATAGAACTGATGACCTTGTCGAATCCGTCGACCTCCGGCCTGGTTACTGGCGTAGGGGGCCGCCGGTCCTCTCAATACGTCTTTCACTTCAATATTTATTCGATCTCAACTGTATTTTTTGGAAAACATCTCTCTTTTGGACTCCACTCCGACCACGACATACACGTGCCTTCTTTGAGGGCGGTCGTTATCGGCACAACCGTCCTATGTCGCGGTCGGAAAGGAAGTCCAAGCACATCATTGTAACAGGAATTCATTGATTCCTTTATTCTTTTTTCTTGATACATTTTTCTCATTCAGGTGTGTACAGAGGGCCGCTTAATTCTAGAATTCACTTTTGACGACATGATGAGGATAAAATCGTGGCATTTCGCTGTACGGACGCATAGAGAGCTGATCCCTAGGACGGTGGTGGGAATGCATTCGCAGCAAGATCCCGGCATGTTGGATCAATTATCGAAAAATATCACAAGGCAAGGCATCACTAACTCGACACTGAATTATTTGAGGGTGAGTATCTCCGGTCGTGATTATTCCTGGTTCAGTTGTTTTCGCTTTGAACTATCGGGTGGTTTTTGTGAGTTACGCTGATATTTACAGTTTTCGTTTACTTCTTTTTAGTTATGTGTGATATTAGAACCAATGCAGGAGCTAATGTCGAGGCACAAAGCCTACGCTCTGAGTCCCCGGGATTGCCTGAAAACGACGTTATTTCAGAAGTGGCAGAGGATGGTAGCGCCGCCGGGTAAGAGAGGTACCAATTTTATTGCACTATAGGATTAGTCATTTTTGCTTTACCACTGAAATGCTACCACCCAAAAAAATTGTACATTTTGGAATCCTCGTTTAGGACCCACAGTGTTCAATTTAAGTTTAAAGTTCGTTAACTTCAAGCCTGACAAATGGTTAGATTAACGGAAATGCATAAAATAACAGTTCTACAAAAGATTGGTTACGGAGATGAAACCCGAACACAACAGGAAATAGCTCGCCTATTTCATGAGAAATTTCCTAATTTACCGCTCATATCTCAGGGAACAATAAGCAAAATAGAGAAGCAGTTTCGCGAGCTTGGTTATGTCGGGTAGATAAAAAAAACAGCTGCCAATGCAATGAGTGAATGAACTCAAATTGGAGGAGCTCATGGAAGACGATTTTGATAGAAGAACTTCTATTTTTGCTTTGAGTTTAGCATAATTTGAGAGGACCAGACTATGAGAAATTTAAGAAATAATTTCAACCGGAGCTTGGAAAAATAAATGTGTATGGTGGGTGGTAGCAAATATGTCCCACAAAATTCATAACTTGTTTGAAAGTGACCGGTATGTGTATAGCAAAAATGAAAAAAATTCTGATGAACCAATTAGATGTCTGCACGAAAAAATATTCCCTCTTTCAAACAAATGTTTCATTGGTTTTTCTGATTTTATGTTCGTTTAGAATCACAAAGGCCGCCAAACAAGAGGCGGAAACGAAAAGGATCGAACTCAGGAGGTGCCGCCAATAATGCAACACCTGCGCCAAACAAGAAGAGATCTCCAGGGCCTAATTTCTCTTTAGCATCTCAGGTATGGTGTGTTTCTGTATAGTTTTTCGAAATAGTCTAAGGAGAACATGTCCCAAGTTATTTTTGAAACAATTGCATTTTATAAACCCCAGCACAGTAATGATGAAATTATTACCATAGAAACATTATTATTTTTTTCTGATTGATTCCGCTGTTACTTGATGAAAATCCATAGTAATTTCATAAACTATACTACACTTTAAATAAAGTTTGTTGAGATCAAATCGTGAGGTGAAGGTTATGAAATTATTAATATTCTTACTGCAATCAAAAAGTCATCACAGCAGAACATGGAGGTAGAGGTTATACTAAATATCACCAGAATTATAAAAACTGAACTTTAGTGGCTGTTGACTGTCTACTCATACACAAACGAGTCATAAACCCCATTACTCGAACATTTGCTTTGCTCCGGCCTGGTTACCGACGTGGATAAGGTTAATAAGGATTGAAAAATGTTGAGATAGCTAAAACTATTGTTCCAATGACACATATACATTCAGTACTCTTTGCCATCTACTATACTGTTGATATAATAAAAATATATTATCTCCACTCACTGTACTTGTATGGGAAAGATGAAATTGGATTTTTCGTCAATGACCAGTTGTACTAGTTAAGATTAACAAGGTCTTGCCTTTCAACGTATCATTTCCAGCACATCTTTGATGCAGTGAATGTAAATTAAAATCCCGAAATATTAATGAACCATTACGTGAATATTCACCTTTTTTTTTTATTTAGGACGTCATGGTGGTGGGAGAACCGTCGCTGATGGGCGGAGAATTTGGAGACGAAGACGAGCGTCTGATCACGAGGCTGGAGAACACCCAGTACGACGCCGCCAATTCCTTAGACCATGATAATCATGGCTTCCATGCTGACTCGCCGATGCCGGGTTCGAACTCTTGGGGAGCGGGAGTGGGGGACCGGGGTCCGGGAGGGGTCGGCCCCTCGCAAGGCAACACCCCATCGAATCAGGACTCTGATAAGAAATCCCCGGCAGTGAGCCAGTGATAATAGTTCATATTATAAACTATAGAATCTCCGAGTCAGTATTTTTTAACGAAACTTCAGGCATTTTGGGTCACTGTGTCGTCAAGAAAAAGTATTCTTGATTCGTTTGTTCATTTACCGGCGCATTTGATAATTCTACGAGTGATTTTCTGGAAATGAGGTCACTCTTATGAATGTATTGATGGGACAACTGAGCTTGGAGCACCGTATTACACCTTTCAATGAAACAATCACAAATTGGTGTCAGAAGTGGGATTGTTATCAATAATTCAGTTGAGAATTTTAGCAGAGGTGATTTCTAGTAATGTATAAAAACTACATTAGCAAGTTACCTTGCTGTGTTTGGAACCATTTCGAAAGTAACATGCTTAGTAGTTTATTTGCTATTCTTTATGACTGTTTCATTGATTAGTGTAATGAGAGTTGTTTGGCAGTAAAATCAGAAACTTTGTTTGTTTTAACATTCAAATCACCACAGAATTTCAGTTCTCCAAACAAGCTTTTAAGTGATACTGTGAGTTCATGATAAAGCAATAGTTGGAAATCAATTTAGAAACCACAGAGAATATTGTCACTGTCACTTCGTGATTATACAACCACGAGAGTGTACCTTTTTGAGTCTGAAAACTAAAATGATTGTTGCAGTATACAACCTTTTTAGGAAATGACGACAGTGTTCATAGAAGGAAATGTATCTTTGAAAACAAAAATCTGAAAAATGTCAACGAATGTTTTCTCCAGCTGAATGCTGGTTTTCAATATAACATTATGAAAGAATTTACTAAAACGTGATGTTCATCACATTTTGTTGATACCAAACTTTAAACAGTTTAGCAAGAATTCTTGATGGAGTTCTTTATTATGTTGATTTTAGAATGTCATGAAGGCTGTGCTTCATCCAACTCTGTTTGAAAAAACTTGATATGATTTGAAGTCTTCCGATAATCTAATTTGAAAAAATTTTGAAACATAATGTGGATTTATTGTCATTACGAAATATAAACAACAACACAGTCCTTCAAAAAAATGTACAAGAGAAATACAGTTCTTTCTTCAGAGAGTTTGTTAACTACACCTTTCAGGGTTTTGTCATTTTTAAAATTTCATTTGTCAATGTATGTTGAATGAGTAGTGTTGTACAACACTTATGAAGTACCTTTTCCACTAAATGGGCTCGCTTGCGACTAGTTTCGTTTTCAAAACCAGAAACAAAATACTTGTTTTAGTTTCGATAAGAAACTCGAATTTCATGAAACAAACAAAAACTAGTTGGAGTTTCCACTACACGAACAGCGATTAAATTGCTGCATTTTTCATCTGTTAATTTCTTTTTTGACTGTTTGTCAACTGTTTTACCTAGGAAGGAAAAACAGTCAATAAAAAAACAGTTGACAAAAACAGTCGCCCGCGACACAAAGTCTTCAAAATGTTTGTTTGGCAACTCGAGTTTTTGTTTTATCGGAATCAATGCAACTGATGTTTTGTTGTGGTTTTGTCCGTTTCATGGAAATCCGGCATTAAATGCAGTCTTCTGAAAGTTTGACTCTGATTGTACTTTATTCTGACTTGTTTTGGATGCAGTGTTGCCAAACATTTGTTCATCTCTTAATATTATGTTTCTATCATGTAATGTAGCTTGAACTCTTGAGTTTTTATATATACATAGTTATCAACGTGATGGTCTAGGATAGCTCTACTGTTTTTTTAGATATTAATAATAGAAGTTCAAAATTTTGTGAAGATTTCAACTAAAAAATGCTTAAAAATGGTGCAACAACAATTGGCAACACTGGGCACGTATTTTTAATATCAACTCAACTGAATCCTTTCGGCAATTGCATGTTAGCAGGGGTTGTTATTCATATAAAGATAAATGGTCCCAAAAAGTTTATGCAAACAGTAAGTTATTCTTTAAAAAATGAGTGTACACATTTGTTTCTTAGGTGTTCATATTAGTTTTTGAGAAATTTTCAATCGGACTGTATTCTGGTTCACTGATTACGAATCTAGTGTCAAAATTTAAGGTTGAGAGAAGTGGCCTTTCAACAGTTGAAACATCGACTATTTCAGGAACTCACTCCTGGTAAAATGGAACCTTCTTTCAAGATCTCACCCATTTCAAATGTTGTCACTGAATGAAAAACTTCCAATTCTCCAAATTAACCTTTTTCATTTGGACTCACATGTGATTTTGCGATCCCCTACCGATGAGAACGGCCGCGATACGCCGCTTATCGGGAGAGCGAGGAGTCCATTTTGTACACGTTTTCTTCTTTTGTTTTATGAATGACTGCCGTCCGAAGTACGTGCATCACAATCTTAAATATGTATTGTGTCATTTTACAAGTTACAAGTTTTTATAAAAGGAAGTGAGATCCCCAAATAGTCGATTGTTTCACTTCTGGGTGATCATATCTACGAAAGTAGATTGGAGCACCAGGTTTTGACTTGGCGTGATCAACAGACAAATATATACAAGTCCAATTACAAATATTTTGATAACATTGGTACATTTCAGAGGTTTGACCTGAAATTACACAGAATCTCGATGTGACAGAGCAATTTTGGTTATAGGTCCGGTTTTACATCCAAAGATCTATAAGAATCGTATTCTTAAGCTGGTGTAAATTGAAAATAACATTTTTTGCAGGATTGTGAGTCGTTGATCACCTGAATGAGTGTATTATTGTTATTATTTGCACTGACAGTATCTCCAGTTAAGCTATCAGTGAATGTTCAGTAAATAACTGTTAGCAGTTAGCAGATATCCCATCAACATTTTGGTAGAATGTAGTGACAAATCTGGACAAAGATTCGTTTTGCGTGACCATGATTGTACTTTTATGTGAACGTTTTTACTGTAAATAAATCTCCAGGGTTTTATTGAGGTTTTTCGATATCGAGTTGTAAAATAAAAAATATATTGTAATGTAGCATTTATGTTTTTTAAATGTGAGTTTTTGAGCCTCCGAAATGCCTGAAGTCTAAGCGCGACGATAGCCAGTGACATTGAATTGTTTTTTATTGTTTAATTTTATATAAAAATGAGTAAAACAAGTGCAAGATGATTCTAAGGAGTGAGATAAAACAGTGTGTTGAGAGTGAAAAAAAATTTATTCGAGTCTTGATTGTGTTGACAATGCTAAAAGGGACCATAGAGACTAAAACATGTTTTAGTATTGACACTGCAAGCAGGGATCGTCTTTTAGACCAGGTTGAGGGAAGACAAGAAGGGCAATACCCCGAGCGAAATCTGACGTTTTGATGATTGGAGCACCGCACAAGTCATTGGTTATTTTTGTGTATTCTTCGCAACCTGCTATTGTGGTATGACTTTGAAAAAGTCGGAGAGAGTTTGGAATGCTGAGATGAAGTATCTTTTTTTTCTATTTTTGAATTTCCTCACCCAAAAAAACAATGCTGTCAAATGTGTTTATCTGTTGTAAAAATTGAGTTTCTGTTCAATATTTAATACCTATAATGATTGTTATTACTACAACAGCAGCGTAGTCTACTTCATTATCAAGTAGTTCAAATGTATCCTTGGCAGTAACAAGGTTACTAGTTACAGTATTCCATCTGTTATAGAGACATGCCTTGCAGCATACCCTACTTCAGTATCGAGTAGTTCAAATGTACCGCTGACGGTAACAACATTACTGATTACAGTATTCCATCTGCTATAGAGCGCTACATTGCGGCATAATCTAATTCAATACCGAGTAGTTCAAATTTACCCTTGGCATTAACAAGATTACTGATAAGGTATTCCATCTGCTGTAGAGTGATGTTTTTCTATGAAAGTTATTTTTGTGCAGTGCATATCTGAGACAAGTGGATAATGTGGAATTCAACTGAGTTTTGTCCCAAATTCAACAAAAAAACGAAATTCACCCAGTTGAATGATTTATTTTCTTCATTATAGAAATAGATTTCACCGAATACTATCATAATAATAACTTTTTATGACAGCAACAGAAATATATAGAGTATATTATCGAGTAGGTCAAATTACTGTCTGCAGTAACATTTTTACTGAGGAAGGTATTCTATCTTGGAGAATTTAAGGATACAACACTTTAATAATGAAAAACTTGGAGTTTAAATGTCTATTATTTGTCCCAAACGAACAAAATCGCAAAAACTGGTTGAATGAAAATGATTAAAAAAAAATTACAAAATCTTGAAGTCAGAATTTAACAACTATTTCCATTAAATTCTGACTTCAATCAGAGAATACTGTTAAATTATGACTTTGAGCTCAACATTCGATTGAATTCCAATCTCAAACTCAAAATTTAGTCAATTCATTTCTAAAAAAATGTGTGGCCCTTCCAAGCTCGAATTTAGTATGAGGTAGTTCAAATGCACCATTAGTAGTTACATTATTCCTATGCCAGTGTTCCATTTATTGTAGAAAATTTTCAGAAGAACTGAACAAAAACTGAAATGAGTAGAAAACATGGCATTGAATTATCTCCTTTCTTTGTTTCAAGTTTTGATGGAAAACCTACGAAATTAATTGTGTTTTGTTTCAAAAACAATGTAGATATTTAAATCTTCACTTGGTCATATGTATTTACCTTTGTCGGACGTGATAAAACTGAAAATTTCTCAAAAGTTTGAAGGACTCATTTTTATATAAAGCCAAATACTTGATTGCTAAAAACATATCACAATAGCGGTTGAGAGCAAGTTATATACGCGCCAAATCTGTAAAAAAAATTATCTGCTGCAGTTGTTGAAACGTCATCTCGCTCTTCTAGGTATAACCTTTCATACCTGGACTACGTTGCACCCGAAGTAGTGCAATTTTAAAAAAAATATAATGGTTTCTTGTGGAACCGTCACCATATGTACCTCTACAGAGTGAATGTTTCTGGTTTTCGAATGGCAGCTCATTTGTACAGTAGTTTAAAACATCACACTGTATGTTGTTGTTTTGTGTTCTAAAAACACATTTACACACACACATACACACACACAGAAATTGTCCAGGTATATTGTGTAAGATTAGAACTAATTAAATTAAATATGGTGAAATTCTATTGTCTTTTTGTTCTTCATCGAATTTGCTGCAAATAGTGCAAATACTTACGATATTGGCATATGTAATATAGTATTTTCTATTAATTTATTAGTTTTATACTTCCAGCACGCCTAGATGGGAACCTAGAGAGGTGGGGGGAAGGGGGAATGTAAAATATACGTTTACGGAAAGCAAACTTAAAAAAAAATGAACTTTAAACGTTCTATCTAGATGGAGAGACATTTTGTTGTTCGTCCAACTTAGGAAGAGGAATGAAAAACTCTGAAACAATTCCGATTTTCAATTAAGGAATACCATTGACTATCTATCTTGCACTATCTTGCACTGATGAGTGGCTAATGAGCCCGAAACCGGTCTGCAAGTGTGCCCGTTCCAGAATTGAGGGTCGACTCTTTCAGTTGTATTGCCAATTGCATATGCAGAAAATTTTCTGTGAAGATTCCTGCACTGACGCCTGCCGGATATAATCCAACGCCCTTCGTGGTATTAGTCAGGGGAGTAGTTGTTTTCTAATAGGCGTCAGTCAATTCAGCCTACCGTGTAGGTATATTTGAGACTGGCTTGAACGTTTAACGTTCTTTCTTTAGATTTGTTTACTGCTGTGGAATTGGCCGCGGTGGTAGTGCGTCCGACTCACGATCGGAAGGTCGTGTGTTCGATTCCCGCCTCGACCAGATATTTTTCTCGAGAGAATTTATCTGGTTGAAGCTGGAATGATTCTGCAACCGTGTTAGGAATCACACGTTAAAAGGTAAGACCTCGTTAGTCCTTAGCTCGCACAAGTTTCTCAACTTCTGAGAGCTGTCGTTCGTATGGGGGCGGCAGCTGATTAACGGAAAAACAGATTTTAAAACAGATTTTTAAAACAGTCTGCAAGCATAGCCCACTGACTAATAAGAAAGTTTACGGAAAGGTCTAAATCGAAGAAGAAACAGCCAAAATCGTCAATTTTTCATGTAGAGAAAGTTCTTACAGATTCTAGCATTTGTTAGATCATAATTTGTTAGCAACTCCAGGAATGTTGAATGTTTTGTATATCTATTCAGAGTGTCTAATTATTTACCTTGCTTATTGCTAAGTGTTTTTGTATAATTCAATGTTCATATGAAAGTAGTTGTTTTGGGAGGGCTTTTTTCCAGTTTGTGCCTGAAAGTCAGTTCTTTGCATGAACTACATACCTTTTCATACAGATTATTTCGAAATTCATTGCTCCCTTCATTTCCTTGAAAGATTCTCACTTTTTTGTATTTTCCCAGTAATCTACAATATTTTTCTAATTCTTATGCCATAATAGCACAAAAAACAAGTGCTGTGAATTGGACACAGATTAATAGAATTCCTAGAGAAAAGATGCCACTGAAGATGAAAGTACAGAAATTGAAAAAACAATGAAGCCTTCGACGCTGGGTTCTTGTAATGTTCTACTCGAAAACAATCTTTAAAACAAAATAACAAATACCTTGAAGCGATAAAAACCTTCAAAAAATGACACTACAAAAAAACAAATCCAAACAACACAGGTACTAGTAAACAATGAACTGTCAGAACTTTCAAGGAAATCTACATCGTCGCCAGCACGACAAGTTGATTAGGAAATTTTAGCAGATCAGAAAGTATCAAGGACATATAGCACATATATTGGAGAAAAGGAAACCACAGAGGTCCAAAACAAGTACTGTTCCCGAACACCAGAACTGCGACACACTTCTCGACGCGCGTCTATATGGGAAGATAATGACTGGAGTTTGCCGTATTAGATGCTGTAACCGAATTCCAGCTAGATTCAGATTCGGACAAAACACGTGGATTTCTTTCATTAGACCTAAAGAAAGCGTTTGATACTGTTAACCCGAGGTTTAGTTTATAACTGCTTTCAAAATTATTTATGGAATATAAGGCAATGTATATATACATGGGCGACATAATTAGTTCAAAAAAAATTATGTGGCATACAGTAAGGATCAATAATTGGACCTATTTTATTTTTTTATATATTTCAATTCTTTGGCTATGGTAAATTAATGTGGGAAATGTTTGCTGATGACACCACTTTAATTTACAATGGAAATAGTGTACAAGAAATTGAAATTAACATTTCAATAAAGACCTTGTTCAGAAATGAAAATTATTATGGTCCAGTTTTCTTCAATATGATCCCTCCATCTATCAGATACATCCCCACTAAGAGGTTTCTAGGAAGAAGGAATATGATGGGGAATGTTCCTCAATTTGGGTTATTACAGCAAATGCAAGTTTGAACAAAATGAAGTTGAGTTTAATTCATGAGTTTTTCAAATTCACTTCGAAAAGTATTCAAATTGACGTTTCAAATGTTGGGTTTTAATTTTTAAAGGGATTTGTTTCTAATTCACATTGCCAAGCCCTATATCAAGTTGAAATAATTTATAGGTACCTACATATTCTACTTTAAAAAAGTAAAATTATCTTTATAAATTAACAATTAAGGCAAAATATAAATTATAGTTCAATACCACCTCCACAAGCCACATAAACAACAGTTGTTTTGTTATTTATTTATATAGAGGAAGATAGGTTAGGTGCACAAAATGTCATGTTACAGAATTTCTCGGAACTCTGAACATAAGTTAACAGAACAGCACGCCTCTGAAATATGTCATCTTTGTTAATCTCATAGAGGTAACAGATTCTTTGTTCTTTTATTAGCTATAACCGATGTTGCCAAATGGTGAAATAGAAACGAATCCCTTTAAATATTGAATGCACTATTTCATTCCTCTTGTTTAAGTATTTGAATAATTTTTTAAAGAAAAAGGTTGAAATGATAAGTTTAAAATTCGTTGTTTTAGAGCTCTTTTATGAAAACTACTTGATTTTCGTCAGGAGGGACATTCACCATTCTTATTCAAAAATCCTACCACAGTGTTGAAGAGTCTTTTTTATACCGGTGCTGTAGAACTGATGCATAGGATGAAGACTTTCACGAAGAAAATCATTTCATTTCTTCATCTTTTTCCTGTTTGTTTTTGACGTATGTCATCACGAAAGTGTAAAACATGAATAAAGTACTCTATTCTATAGAGGTCAAGTATCTTTTCTGAAAGATATTAAGAAAGATTTGAAGAGGATCTCTCATTATCAAGAAAAAATTTTGCTCTACATTAGAGTTTGAAAATGTATTTTGATTCAATCTTTTAAAAAAGCGAAGTTTTTCGCTTTGAAATTGAAGAAAAAACCCTAATGTTTGGTGTAAGGCAGATCAGATTTCAATGATCTATCTAGTTGATTAGGTGAGGCGATATTAGGAATGTTGGGATAGAAATATTTAGGAACTGCAACAACAAAAAAAAGGATTCCAAAGAAAAAACATTAATTCTTTTAAAATAATTATTGACTTAAAATTACTGAAAAATAAATCAGATTGAATTAATGTAGATAAAAGTTAGTTTCGGTCCTCTCAAATCCTCGAAAGTCTTGCTTGAATACCTCTTATCCTATTAACCAAATGGTCAGTGTTCGGTTTGCTATATAAATGCGAAAGTAAGCCTACCACAGTATCCTGACACATAGAAGCAAGTTTTCTCCTGAAATTGAATATCACTTGAAGTTCTAACTATGAAAGGATCATTTTGAAAATTCATTAAATCTATTTGGAAATGAAAAAGGGTCATAAATATACAGGGTGTAACTGAATAAGTGAAAAACATTTAAGGAGGTGATTCCTCATCGAAAAAAAGTTAGAATCTTTCATATGAAGAAACTTCATTGGAGCATTCCTTGTTAAGATACAGCCCCTTAAAGGGGGTACATAAAATTTGAATAACAATTTTTTTCACAAGCACTGAAAAAGTTACAATATTGAAACTAACCTGACGTTTTGTACTACCAAAAAGACACTTAGCCAGTAATTTATTTGTTTTACCCCATGGTTGTGAGGGGTGGAAAACGCAACCCCTAAAATTTATTTCCAATGTAACTTTTTGTCTTATTATTTGTTTACCATTTAAAAATTTATTTCCGACAGCCTGTTTCACTCTAAACAAAAAATGTCTCTTGGGTTTTTTGCCTAAAATAAACCAGTTCGCAGCAAAAAATTATTTTACGAACAACTACAGAGATACATCATCATAAATGCGAACTGGATTTATTGTTATTTTGTAGTTAGTACCTGCATTGAACGATTGAAGGTTAATAAACAAAACTAATTTATTAATAACAAAACACACATGTAGAAATCATAGTAAATGTTAAATATGTCTACCTTCAGACATAACGCATGCGTCTAGACGTCGGCGCATTGAGCCACGTATTTTCTCAAATATTCCTGGAGTCTCTCTGATTACCCTGCACGCATCGATGATGCGGTTTCTCAAGTCCTCTACATCGCGAACAGGAGTATGATAAACCAAATGCTGTAAATGGCCCCAAATAGAGAAATCGAGAGGATTGAGATCCGGGGATCGAGCGGGCCAGTTCTGTGGTCCTCCTCGACTGATTTGCATATGTTTCAGTTAAATGCTGACGTGCTACTTGACTAAAATGGGCGGGAGCCCCATCATGCATGAAAAACATATCCCTTCTGACGCCCAAAGGAATTTCCTCCAGCAGTACTGGATGCACTTCTCTTAAAAATTGAACGTATGCCTCACAATTTAATCGAGGAGGTAGAAAATTAGGCCAATTAAATCATCCCCAATAACTCCGAGCCACACGTTAGGAGAAAACTGTTCTTGATGGTTAGTTTCGACAATAGCGTGAGGATTTTCATCAGCCCATATATGGTAATTATGAAAATTAATAATCTTGTCCCGAGAAAAACTACATTCGTCTGTGAATTCTATCGTTTTCAGAAAGTCACAATTTCTTCTAATCCTTTTTAGCATCCAATTGCAAAATTCAAGACGGTTCGGAAAGTCTCGCGGTAACAGTGCCTGTACTTGTTGCAGATGGTGAGGGTATAAGTTTTTCCTTTAAAATTCGAAATACCGTCATATGATCAACATTTAGCTCGAAAGCAATCTTTCTAGTACTGGTAGTAGGTCGTTCTTCAATCAAATTAAGTACTGCTTCCTCAAGCTGTGATGTTCGTACTTCACGGTGGCGACCACAATCCTGCATTCTTTTGTCGAATGAACCATATTCTCGTAATCGTTGATGAAGTCGAGCAAATATTCTATGTGAAGGATGCTGCCGTTGAGGATACATTTCAGAATATCTTCTAGAAGCTTCTAACCCATTCCCCTGCGACAGACCGTAACCGTAATGCATATCAGCCATTTCCTCATTTGTGTATGCCATTTTAATAAAGTGAATTATTAAAGTAACAAATTAGGAACAGAACAACAACACACAATTAGCATTAATTCAATTTCGAAAATTCACAAACTGACAGCGTCATACCAATTTAATTGTCACTATCGCTAATGGCGACCTGCTAGATAGATTAGTTTCGTATTTTTGCATTTATGACGATGTATCTCTGTAGTTGTTCGTAAAATAATTTTTTGCTGCGAACTGGTTTATTTTGGGCAAAAAACCCAAGAGACATTTTTTGTTTAGAATGAAACAGGCTATCGGAAATGAATTTTTAAATGGTAAACAAATAATAAGACAAAAAGTTACATTGGAAATAAATTTTAGGGGTTGCGTTTTCCACCCCTCACAACCACGGGGTAAACCAAATAAATTTCTGGCTAAGTGTCTTTTTGGTAGTACAAAACTTCAGGTTAATTTCAATATTGTAACTTTTTTAGTGATTGTGAAAAAAAATTGTTATACAAATTTTATGCACCCCCTTTAAGGGGCTGTATCTTAACAAGGGATGCTCCAATGAAATTTCTTTATATGAAAAATCCTATCTTTTTTTCGATGAGGAATCACCTCCCTAAATGTTTTACACTTATTCAGTTACACCCTGTATAACTGAGATAGTGCTTTACACAGGGTGTTGCTTAATGTCACTCAAATATTTGAAAGAATGCTGTCAAATGTGTTTATCTGTTGTAAAAATTGAGTTTCTGTTCAATATTTAATACCTATAATGATTGTTATTACTACAACAGCAGCGTAGTCTACTTCATTATCAAGTAGTTCAAATGTATCCTTGGCAGTAACAAGGTTACTAGTTACAGTATTCCATCTGTTATAGAGACATGCCTTGCAGCATACCCTACTTCAGTATCGAGTAGTTCAAATGTACCGCTGACGNACAAAATATGTCGTATCTATGTCTCTCACTAAATAGTTTTAAAGGTAGGTGTGTATGTATGACTATATATGTATGTACATATTAACTGTATTATTTATTCTTCCTAAAGCCATATTGGTTATTACTAAAAAGATTATTTTGATCCATGTAATTCAGAATTCTGTTACTAACAATTTCCTCAAACAGTTTAGAGAGGGAACAAAGTAAAGATATGTAAGTAAAGAATGGACTGACGTCTATCAGAAAACAACTACTCCCCTGGTTAATACCACGAAGAGCGTTGGATTATGTCCGACAGGCGTCAATGCAGGAATTTTCACAGAAAATTTCCTGCACGTGCAATTGGCAATACAACTGAAAGAGTTGACTCTCAATTTTGGAACGGGCACACTTGCAGACGGTTTTTGGGCTCATTAGCCACGCATCAGTGCAAAATAGTGACCATCATCGACCTAAAGTCAATGATATTCCATAATTGAAAATCGGAATTCTTTCAGAGTATTTCATTCCTCTTCCTATGTTGGAGTGAACAACAAAATGTCACTCCATCTAGTGGATGAGGTACTAACCAACTGCATATCCGAAATTTGCCCGATTCCTCTGAATAAGGAAGTTATAATCCAACGCCCTTCGTGGTATTAGCCGGATTGTATCTGAAAGTAACTTCTGTACGTGATCTACACATCTTTGTAAGTCTTCCACAATTTTTTTGTATATAGCAGTGTCATAAAACTGGCTAAGCTTTCGTATTATCTTACCAGAATTAATACTGCCTCCAATATAGTAAAATCCGTGAAAAGAGCAAAAATCAAATTGTTAAAATCAATTTAAAATCTTGACTATATCAACTACTACTATTGCTCTATCGCAACTAAACTTATAATGAGACATTTCCACTAATATTCATATTAATCCATTGCAATATCCTGAGGATGTAACAATTGACGAAACCTTCTTTCTATTTCCAACAGACCCATATGAAATAAAGAGAGCTATGAAGGACATTTTGAACAAAAAGGCATCAGGAGCTGATGGTATGTCTATAAATATGCTGGAAAATCAGCCATGGCGATTCTAATTTAAAAAGGAGGGGATAGGGAGGATCCATCAAATTATAGACCAATATCCCTCCTATCTACTATTGCAAAAATCTATTCTAATCGCTCAATAACAAAATAAAAAAAAAAACCTGTTCATTTCATAACTTACTTGTTATACGCATTAATTAAAACTTCAAATGGAATATTCACAGATTCCAAAGCTTCTGGAACAAGTCTCTTGTCACCTTTCAATTTGGAGTTGACCGATTCCAATTCGAAGATAACTGAATCTGAAATTGAAAAAATTATTATCAAGGATTGAGAACACATTATTTTCCTTTGATTTTAAGAGATTGTGGAGTACCAGTGTGACAGTTCTTTGAAAATAACTTCTGGGTCGAAGGATTGGAAGGGGAAGTTTCACAGAGTAGCCACCCAGATCCCCCGATTCGACTCCACTCGACTTTTTTCTGATGGTTGAAATCAAAAGTCTACAAGACGCAGCCAACTAATGATAAAGTAGATTTTTGTTCAGTTTTATTTTCGAATTAGAAGTGAAATACAATTTTAAACACGTATTTTATTTTTTCTGATATTGCTCATCACTGTTGCAATGTCAATAGTGTTACAGGATTGGAGATACAAATGGAAGATCGTACAAATAAGGTGTTACTCCACTATTACTTCTATTTGAAATTTTTGTAGGAATGTGTCGTTTTTAAAATTGATGTTGAAGATGGCCTGTTTTAACTGGAATCCATTGGCATCAGAGGCATATCTCATAAATGGATGACATCTTACTTGCAAGACCGGGAACAATATGTGAAAGTTTCGGGTGCAGTATCTGAGGAAAAAAAATTGACCAGCGGAGTTCCACAAGGTTCTGTCTTGGGGCCCATATTATTTTTGCTATATGTGAATGATCTCACGAACTTGAATATTAGTGGTAGGTTCACTTTATTTGCAGATGATGCAACTATAGAGTGGCCTCCCTAAATGTTTTACACTTATTCAGTTACACCCTGTATAACTGAGATAGTGCTTTACACAGGGTGTTGCTTAATGTCACTCAAATATTTGAAAGGGCGATTCTATGGATGAATCCAAGACGTGAACTCTTATGAACCCATTTCCGGAAAGGATCTGCTCCCAAGGGGAATACTTAACAATATTTAGATAACATTCAGGAACACCATGTATATCTGACAAATCAATTGAAAATTTTGATATGGTGATACATGAAGATCTGTAACAGTGCCCGCATGCTTAGAATTAAAAAAAAAACTCACTTTTCTATGCTGTTGTAACAGTCACTTTTATTGAGGAAACAATCAATTAAAGCAGCAGTAGCTTCAGCCAGATGGAACTCGTGCTCTTCCAGCTGCCAGAAACGGTCATTGTGCGACATTTGGTTCAAACTAGAAAAAAATCACAAGAGATTATCTTTCAAAGTCAATTTATCTAGTTTTTTTTAGTTGAAAGGGATGTATTTTTTAACAGCGATTAGCTTCTAGACTTCCACTTCTCCATTTCCATACAAAAATTGTAAACTTCCAAAGGAAGAAAGTAAGTTGAATTTCAATATGAAAGTAGTTGTTTCCAAATCAGTCTCGAATATACCTACACAGTAGGTTGAATTTATTTATTTATTTATTTATTTATTTGACACTTTGGTTTTAACATCCGACAATCCATATTGGTTTGCATAATTTTAATTTCATTTAATTATCATGACTTCCTGCTCATTTTAAGCAGTTAGGATTTATGTACTATTATATTTAGGAGCTTTGTCAATAAGAATTCTATTCTTCAGATAATAAAGCATGCTTTGATTTGATTTGATTTGATATAAGTGAGTGGAAGATAGAAAAGAGAATAGGTAAAAACAGGAACCTAACCATTACCCCAACTGATTATGAAATTACAATTGAACATTGAACAATAACCTCACCTAACGGAAAAGTATAAACTGATTTTGAGTACTGCTTGGCCAAGTGTTTAACTTTAGCTAAAACTTGGCTGAGTTTGTCGTTGACGGATCCAGACGCCTTTCTCAGTTCGTCGGCTAAAATTTGCTGCCAAATCGATTCTACTAGAACTTTATCACTGTAACCGGAACAGTCAATGATCGCCAGTTGGCATTCCAGTAGTTTGAACGGTTCCGCAAAGTTTTCATACAGCTGAAATAAAAAAATAGCTTGTTCTCTGTATATAAACATCATCATCCCTTACGGTCTTACTTGTGAAATTTCGTACAAGCCAGAATTTAGAGCGGCGACAGCTTCTTGCACGTTCGGTACCTGCCCTTGCAAATTCGAAATGGCCTCTTGTATCTGTTCTTGCACCTTGGCCACTTCCATTCTGTCCTCCAAATCTCTCAAAAAGACTCCCAGATAAGGTGCGTAACCCACTTTGTCACTCCTCATGCACATTATAGCTTTGGCAAGGTAGGACAGTCTTTCTTTCAATGGCACATAATTTCTAGAAAATAAAAAGATATATAATGGAGCAGCAATGGAAGGAAAATCTTAAGTCCTATTCACTGCCAAAAAAAAAACATTGAAGGATGACCTGTCCTTACAAATAAAGTAAAAGTTTTCTTTTGTTTTTGCAAATAGTTCTTGTTTTGGCAGTAATGCCTTTTAGTAACTTTTTCAATAGATGACCCACACAGTATATTAAGTCTACAAAAAAAGATATGGAGACTTATATTATTATGCAATTTGTGCCGAACAATAAAAACAAAAGTCATAGAGAATATGAAGGTGATATTATTAAAAACGTTAACAATGATATCAAATGTTTGCAGAAAACAAGTAATATTCATCATTAACTCTGCATCAACATGTACAATGATGACCGTCTTGGTATTAGCCTAGGGAGTAGTTGTTTTCCGACTGTTAGTTGCCTAATCCTACCATGTAGGAGAACCTTGGAGAGATGATTAATCGGTTTAAATAACATTTGAAGTAAGAAGTGGGTTTTCTGGTGTCAGGTGTGGGGTTACCTAGTGTCAGAAGTGGTTTTTCTGGTGTCAGGTGTGGGGTCACCTAGTGTCGGAATTGGGGTCTTTTGGTGTCAGAAGTCGGGTTTTCTGCTGTAAGAACTTTTTTCCAAAAATACTTCCTGTCATTTATACTCACTAATTCATCGTGATTAATTAATACTTACCCTGTTTTACAAGCGATGTTATTTAGTACTTTGGCAGCTGCTGCATGATTATTATTACTTTCGTAATATTTCCACAAGAGATCCATGACACTGATATTATTCGGATTTTGAGCAGAGGTTTTTTTCAAGTAGACTTCCAAAGAGGAGTTGTGAATTTTTATGAGATCTCCGGACATATTTTTCGAAACTAGCCATTCATATAGAGCAACTTGCATTATTTCGTCGGGGGTTTCCAAAATTTCTTCGATGACCTGTTTCAACTGGAACAAAGGACATAACAATAATGGTTTGTGCCTGTACTGTAGACATTTGTGACTTTATATATTAATGAAAGGCATTCGAATTTTTCTGAAAATTATATGTGTGTTTGTGAGTGACATTATACGTGTGAGTGTTTTTATGAAAATGGACAAAATCCATACTTGATACGCGTGCAAAATGGTTGAAACTTCGCTGAGTAACTATCAACAGATGAACAACGAAATTCACTAGCTTTCATTTACGAGTGGTGCCATCTTCATGTTGAGGTCAGAAATTTTTTAGATGACTCTCGTACATACGTCAAAAATATTGAAGTTGAAATATATTTCAAAAAATTTCTAACTTTGAATGGAGATCTCAATCCACTACATTTTTTCACAACATCCATAAAATTAAGGTTTTTATTATTTCAAAGAATTCTTACCGTACATCCAATCTGTGATTCTCTGGTATCATTCAACAAAATCGATTGATTAGTAGTATAGTCAGGTTCACATCTATTATTGGGAACCTGCTGCTGTTCATTATATACATATTCCAGCATTTGCAGGATATGCTTGTAGATTTCCATCCTGAAATTTTAGAGAAAATAGAACAACCACAAAAACGCTTCATTAGACATAATATAAAAAAATCTGACCTAAAATGACAGTTGAGATATGATTTGTCAATAGTTGGAATAGCCAGTAATTATCAGTAATTATAGGTTGAAAAGTAACGGGGCTTAGAAAATAAACACGTGATTTAGAACCTCAGGAGCAGATGGAGCACCTAGAACAAATACCCTGAAAGCCAACTTATGGACATATTGCCTCCAAAACAATTGTAAACAATAACAATGCAAACAGCAGACCGATAACCTATAATAACACAACAAAGTTTTTGTTTCGGGGTTGAAATTAGATGATTTTAATGTATTTCCACGTGTTAAAACCGAAAGTGACCAAAAAAATTATATATTAGCTCTTGTTTTCAAGATATAGTATCATTATATTATATATATGTATATTGAGTTTTCAACAAATGAAATATTTCATCACCAACAGTTGGTACACATGTTTGTTTACATAACACCCCTCTCATCAGCTGTGAGTTTGTCAATTGTACGCACGTGGTTGCTATTGAAATTATCGTGTGAAGTTGATTTTTAAATTAATTTAAGTGCTGATCTGAAATGCCTCGAAAGTGTGTGAATTCTGTCGATAGCTTTTGCTATATATGTGGTGAAATAACATTTAAGGCTCAGAAACGTAAAATGACACCTATCGTTAAGACAGCCTATGAACATTATTTTGGTGTGAAAGTTGGGGACCAAGATAAATCATGGGCTCCTCATATATGTTGTAATTCTTGTTCCGTCATATTGCGAGAGTGGCTGAAAAATAAAAACCGGGCAATGGCTTTTGCAGTACCTATGGTTTGGCGTGAGCCTACCAATCATACAGACGACTGTTATTTCTGCTTAACTCCTCCCATTAAGCAAGGTTTATCTATGAAGAAAAGAGGAACGGTTAAATACCCTAATCTCCCATCTGCTCTTCGGCCTGTACCACACTCAGACAATTTGCCAGTCCCTTCTCCACCCCAAAACTATGAAATTTTAGAGGAAGGTGATGAAGACTGTTTAGAAGGAGCAACCCATCCTTCTACATCCTATGACCCTGATTTTGAGGTAAGCGATAGGTCTAGTGATCCGCACAGAATTAGTCAAGCAGAGTTGAGTGACCTTATAAGAGATCTTCGCTTGTCTAAGGAAAAGGCTGAGCTGTTAGGGTCAAGACTACAACAGTGGAATCTTCTAAAACATGATGTGAAAATATCTCAGTACAGACAGCGTCTGCACTAAGAATAATGTTTTTTTTATTAATTTTGTACTTAAAATATTCTAAAAGAAACATAACAATATTGTTTTATGTACTTTCACTTTTCACGTATAGTATAACTACTCTTCAAGATTAAGTACTGTGTATCTCAAAAACCAGAGCTAATAAAAATTTTTCATTGTTATTTTCGTTTTTATCACCCCAAAATTAGTAGGGATTGACTAATTTGGTGTAGGAAACATTCAAAAAATATTTTTTTGTTGTGTTGTGTAATCGAAACAACAACAATGACAATTTCGTGGAAGTCACAATGTACAAACCAGATTTTTGGCCAAACCGTGTAGGTATTAGAAGATTCGATATTACAAAACACAAAGATTTTCTGAATCAACTAGATGGAGATATTTTATAGAAAATGAAACACACGAGGCCCACCAGAGCAAAGAAACACACAAAAAACACAAAACTATCAGCGTGATTCATCACTACGTGCAATCTATTGAAAATGCAGTAGATCGAATAGAAAACGGTTTCGATATTCATTCAAACTGTAAGGTATTATGTAATATGTAAGGTAATATTTAATAAATTACCGAATAATCTCAAGGGTGTCACGGTGCATAGGGTCCTCAAAAATAAAGTGAAACAACTTCTGTTGTATCTGGAACCGTATGATTCCAAATATTTTGAATAGAGGAAAACACTTTCGCAGTCCGACGTTTAAAAAAAGAGGAATCAACACTAAAACTGCAGCTAAAATATATAAAATGATCTGTGGTCCACTTCTCGAATATGCACATGTAATTTATTCAAGTTGTCGTAATCCTGCATTAAAAAATCCCCAAACAGCTGAAACATCTACACTCAGGAGTATTACCAAAATGGGGAAAAAAATTAAACGAAAAGTATATCCAATATTGAAGCCGGTTCAGTTTCGTACACCTTTTGCTTCAAATAGCCCCATAAAAAAAGTCCAAAGGTGTCAAATCTGGCGAGCGGGCTGGCCATTCTGTGGGACCTCGACGGCCATTCTGTGGGACCTCGACGGCCAATCCAACGACCGGGAAAAGTAGTTCCCAAATAGTTTCTTACGCGATTCTCTGTAGTCTAAATCATGTATCATTCAGATGAATTTTTTTTGTATTCCAAAGACTCTGGATGTTTCCGTGGACCTTCCCCATACTATGATGTTGCAGCAGTTCCCCTGTTAAATTTTGATCAATAAATAGAGCACGAGAATTGACCATTTTAGAGATTGTTGACGTGGTACCTTTCTACTAGTAACACCGAAAACTAAATGATGTCATTGTCGTACTGACATTTTTTGTCGTTCTTATAAACAAAAAATAACTTGACAAACCTTATCGGGTTTTTGGAATAGTTCTAGAAATATCGATATTAATGTGTTTGTCTTCAGGAAATTATTAAATGTTCCGCTATTTTGTAGTTAGGTGAAAATATCGACTTCATATTCTAAGATTGTGAAGTATTCGTCAGGAGCTTCAAAATTATGTCTCACAAGACCCCCCCTTCAGAATAAAGTATTCAAGGGGGGGACATTAAAGAAATGCACTGTATGAAATAAAGAATATATTATATTACATTAACACATGGATCAATAAGTCCCGAGACTAACAATGAAAACATTTTTTTCACAAAATTTTTTTTTATTCATCAACATAATCTCCTTTTAGGGTGATACAATGGTTCCAACGCTTTTCCAATTTTTCAATACCATGTTTATAAAAAAACGTATCTTTCGCTTCAAAATAAGTTTCAGTTTCAGCGATGACCTCCTCATTTGAGCCAAATCTTTTTCCCTGGAGCATTTTTTTAAGATCAGCAAAGAGCCAGTAGTCACTGGGGGCTAAATCTGGTGAGTATGGGGGGTGGGGAAGCAGATCAAAGCCCAATTCGTTTAATTTTGCCATTGTTTTCATCGACCTGTGGCAAGGTGCATTGTCTTGGTGAAAAAGGATTTTTTTTCTCTGCATGTGCGGTCGTTTTTTGCGATTTCCTCCTTCAAACGTACCAGTAAGTCAATATAATAATCACTGTTGATCGATTTACCTTTTTCGAGGTAGTCAATGAAAATCACGCCATGCGCATCCCAAAAAACTGACGCCATCACTTTGCCAGCTGACTGCTGCGTTTTCGGACGTTTCGGACGGCTTTCGCCAGCTGTGCGCCACTCAGATGACTGCCGCTTTGACTCTGGAGTGTAGTGATGTATCCATGTTTCGTCCATGGTCACGTAACGACGCAAGAAATCTTTTTTGTTGCGAGTAAATAGCGATAAACAGCTTTCTGAATCATCGACTCGTTGCTGTTTTTGTTCCATCGAAAGCAATCGCGGCACCCACTTAGAAAAAACCTTTTTCATGCTCAATTTTTCATGAAGGATAGTAAACACACTTCCATATGATATCTGTGTCATTTCAGCAATCTCACGGAGCTTCACTTTACGATCTTTCATTACAATTTTTGTCACTTCACTCACATTTTCCGGTGTAACAGCTTCCACAGGTCTACCCGAGCGTTCTGCGTCATTTGTGTCGGTACGACCACGTTTAAACTCGGCAAACCACCGACAAATCGTTGCTTTTGATGGACAAGAGTCCGGGTAACATTTTTCAATCCATTCTTTCGCTTGCACAGTGTTTTTACCCATTAAAAAACAATGTTTTATCAGAACACGAAACTCGGTTTTTTCCATTTTTTAAACAAACTACAAAACGACTTTACTCTAACCTCGATAACTCAGCTGTTTCTGGTCCGATCGACTTAAAATTTCGACACGTTTCAAGCAAAGGTTAGTACTCTAGAAAGACGTGGTTACTGGTTTACTAAGAGCGCCATCTCTGGGTTAGTCTCGGGACTTATTGATCCATGTAGTATATTTTCTGGTGTTACTGCCTCATTTGGACGTCCACTGCTTTCTGCATCATCAGTGTCTCTACAACCACGTTTGAAGTCAGCAACCCAACGTTTAATTATTGTTACTGATGGAGAAGAAAACTCATAACACTTTTCAAGCCATTGCTTAGCTTGAACGGTATTTTTTCCCATCAAGAAGTAGCGTAAAATCAAAACATGAAATTGTTTTTCATCCATGGTTTTCAAAATAACAAAAGTAGTGTAACTCTTTACACAGTAACTCTACTCAAGTGTGAATTATCATGAAATTTCAACAGCTTTCTTTTGAAGGTTAGGACTAACTGAAAAAGCGGTCTATGTGTCAGGCCCGAGACTTTTCAACCCGGGTAATAAATAAAATTTGAAGACAAAACAATAACTTTGGATAAACCAATATTTTCTAAAAATAATAAAACATTTTACGTTCTCACACTCACCTTCTTTGATAAAAATTGAAACCCTCCTGATCCGCCGAATTATCGTCCGTGTTGTAATAATTCTCCGCAACTTTTTCCGGATCCATCATTCTACCGTAATGCATACATAACTCTATTACTGCTCTGTACGCTTTGAGAGATGTAAACTCCCTGCAAACTTCACCCATATTTATATTCGGCGATATGCACTTACAAATTTGTAGAGCGGACAATAACATTTCTTCCTTCTCATCTGCGTTTTGTATCGTTCGAGCTGCTTTAAGAATTTCGATGGCCTAAAAACATATCGAAAATATTCCAGCGTTCAGAAGATACAAGCTTTCATTTTTAGACAAAATTTTATAAATCAACTTTCATTGTTATAGAGATTGAGAATTATTCACAAGAATTTTTGGTTACATTTTGGATAGTGCACACTCTGATTTTGAAAAAAAAATTGTGTGCTTACGTATTTTGATGTGTAGATTAGGAATCCGAAAGAAAATATCGGTCTCTCCCTTATTTCCAGACTTCCAAAGTTCCGACAATTGGAATATATCAGCCTTCTTTTTGCACAATACGAACTATAGAAAAACACAAGTATTTAGTCACCTTTATATCTTACTTCACCTTCCTCGCCACTTTACAGTTTAATAATCAACACAGCAGACCTTTTCCTGGCTCAGAGCACAATCACCTTATGCCACTGTCAACATTTCAAGTGTTTTCAAGCACTTGATTCCATTCCATTCCAGAAAATAGAATTAACCGCTTAAAAACACTTGAAATGTTGACAGTGGCATAAGGTGATTGTGCTCTGAGCCAGGAAAAGGTCTGCTGTGTTGATTATTAAACTGTAAAGTGGCAAGGAAGGTGAAATAACTTGTAAAAGTGGATAAATACTTGTGTTTTTCTATAGTTTGTATTGTGCAAAAAGAAGGCTGAAAAATTTCAATTGTCGGAACTTTGGAGGGCTGGAAATAAGGGGGAGCACCGATTTATCTTTACAAAATCAGTGTCCAGCCTATCCAAAAGTTAACCAGAAATTCTTGTGAATAATTTCCAAAGTAAGGCTGAAAAGTTTCGGAACTCAAGCGTTATTATATAACTGAAACAACAAGTAAACATGCTTCTGGGATAGATGATATATGTGGAAAAGCTGTAAGGTTTGTCAAGGAAACGATAGGTTTGCCTTTAGCTCACATAATCAATGAATCTTTTTTGTCAGGACAGTACCCATTGATTCTAAAGGTCTTTAAATCTATACCAATTTTCGAAAACAAAGGATCTAGAGAGATAGTAGATAATTACCGAAATGTCTGCTTACAGAGCCAACTAGCCAAAATTTTTGATATGGCATATAATGAACGTCTCAATAAATTTTTGAATCAATGTATAATCTTGTAAATTTTAATTACTTTCGAGCTCTCTTTGTGACTAGTCCAATAAGTTTCATGTATTTACACTTTTTTATGTTGTACATGTGAACTTTAGTGATGAATAAACTTCTATTCTATTCTATTCTATTCCAAGTCTTGATCAAATTAAAATAGTAGTAGTAGTAATCTTTATTATAGGATACATCCTAATCTTACAAGACATAATAACTAATTAACAATTTAAATTTCCACAGTGCCAAAAATATGATAAGAAGTAATTAATTTCTAACACAAAAGGATCACTGAAATCGGTGAAAGTTGACGTTTCTTTTCAATATCTTTGCTAAAAATATTCCCCCATTCAATAACCGTTTCTTGTTGACAAACTCTCTACATAAAAATCCAACAAATTTTGAAGGCCACTCTTTGAATGAAGCATAGAAGGAAAATTCTTGAAATGCTCTGAGAGCGGAACCTATGCGAAAGCGTGAAGATATCGGCGTATTATTATCTCATTAATAATCCTCGACTTTTGCCAGGACAGATTCTTCTTTGAACCTCCACCAAAAATTTCACAAAAATTGACGAACGTCTTACCTTTGAGAAAGCAGCGTCTTCAGTCTTATACAAATGAGGACAGACCTCCCTCAGCTTATTACTGATCGAGTCGACGGAAGCATTATCGCCAAGGTAACTGTCGACTAGATTGGTGATCAGCAGCGAACAGATATCTTGCCTGTACAGGAACAGATCTTTGAACGCCATATTCTGCAGGAGCTGCTGCTCATTTTCCGGGAGAGCTCCGATCAACGAATGGAATTGATGTTCGCACAAGATCTGCCACAGGCCTAAAATTCAAATTTTTCAATTATAATATAATATACAGAGCCTCAGACTCATACAATGTGACCCATTTTTAATGGAAACACCCCCCCCCCTAAAATTTGAAGTTGGGAACCGATTTCAATATTTTTTTTTTGAAATGTCAAGTACTAAAAGATCTACCTTGGGACAAAATTTGAAATGTTTATTGAAGTTTCAGGGCATACTACGATATTTTTTCTTAGTCGAAAATCGGGATTTTTTATTAGCGATTTTTTTATTGAAAAAATCACTACGCCACTGGATTCAGAGTGCCTCTAAATAGGTGTGACCAAANGAGTTGTCATAACTTTGTTAATAATGAATATTTTTTCATGAAATTTTGGTCACACCTATTTAGAGGCACTCTGAATCCAGTGGCGTAGTGATTTTTTCAATAAAAAAATCGCTAATAAAAAATCCCGATTTTCGACTAAGAAAAAATATCGTTGTATGCTCTGAAACTTTAATAAACATTTCAAATTTTGTCCCAAGGTAGACCTTTTAGTACTCGACATTAAAAAAAAATATCTTAATCGATTCACATCTTCAAATTTTAGGGGGGTGTTTCCATTAAAAATGGGTCACACCGTATAAATGTGTCCCTATAAACATTTTTCATAGATAAACCAGAAAATTCTAAAGGAGATAAATTTGCAGAGAGGTGTTAGATTGATGAAACCAATGAAAACATTTTTTGATGAGTTGCTGAGAATTTGTGAACATAATAAAAAATAATTGGACCAAGGATTGATCTGTGAGAAATGTCACACAAAACACTCTCCGGAGCACTACCCTTCAAATTATTTTGTTTATTTTGTATAAAACAAATATTTTTTAGAGAATAAAGACATTTGAAATTTATAATTTTTGTGGTAGGACTTTATATATTTTCATTAATCTACTAGCAGATACTCTGTAATTTCATGGACTTTGAATATGGTTTATTTCTTCGTCAAAAAAGCAATATTTACCAAAGCTTTGTCAATGAGAATTTCTCTTTAGACAATAAAGCATATTTAATATTATTATTCTTATTATATATTATGAAATCTAGAATACATAACTTTCCTTGATTCCTATTTGATGCAGTATAGTCATAGCTCTATCAACTATTCATTTATATACACGGGAAAGCCCAATTCAGATATAAGGGAATAAAGAAGTTATATGAATAATTGAATCTGTGAAAAGAAACGTAAAACGTTAGCAACTGTCTAGTTGAACGACTGGGGACACGTAAAGATATTTTGGAGAGAAGCTCAGGGCTTATACTCAGCCCATTGATAATTTTGAATAGAAGTATTAAATTCCTATGTTTTCTGCGAGCTTCAAGAGAAGGTATGTTCAAAAAGCATTCCAATGCAGTATACTCATAGTATACACGCATTTTCAAGGCAAAACATCGCAGGATATTGTGCTGTATGGCCTCGAGTTTTAATTTTTGTGTAACGTAATGAGGGGACCAAACTGTGGAACAATAATCGAGATGAGATCCAACCAGGGAAAAATAAAGATATTTAATAGCAGTGACCTGCAAAGTAATGAACTCTACCTCCACTTTTAATATTGAAAAGGCCATCAATAAATACCCGATAGTAGGAGGTTTGAAACGGTACCCTGTGGGACTCAAAAATCAAATAGTTTTGGAATACTGAAATTTTCATCTATTTCAATAGTATGTTTCCTGTCGCACAAATAACTTTTCATTATGTGACAGCTACTTTCCGGGGTTTTTGACCGGTTTTCACGTCTGACGTTTCGTTTACTACTGCGGTAGATACCAACACAGGCGAAGGTCAAATCGAAGTGTTTGAGTTGCTCCCAACACAGAAATTACAATGCTGAAATTTGTTTTGCTTTTTCCTAATTGGATTATCTGACATTCTGTGTGTACAATTAAGAACAGGTTGCCACATTTTAATAATGTTCATTGCCGCTTCTTTTGAAATTATCCCTGTGTTTCTGAATTTCTATTGCCTCTCTTGGATGGTAAATTCTTCTTCTCTGAACCCATTCCTTTTGAACAAATATTTTAGGTGATTGATTTCCTCGAGAAGACTCTCTTTTGTTGTGGCTGGTATTTAGAGTTTTTGTTCAGGTACCTGCCTGTGTGTGTGTGTTGGTTTCTTGTATACTCTGTGACCATATCTACCATTTTCATGTATCTTCACAAGAACATCCAAGAAGGCCACAATTCAGCATTAGTCGAACATCCTCTCAACAATGAAAGCACGCATATTATCTCACTTGAAGATAGAGAAATACTGGATAAAACTCAAAATTACTATCCAAGAGTACATAGAGAGGCAATGAACATGATTAAAATTTGGCTACCTGTCCTTAATGGTATACAAACAGGGTTGGGTAATCCAATTAAAAGAATCCAAGCCATACTCACCAACTATAATGTAAAAGCAGAGTCAAATATCAGTATTGTAGTCACATAGTTTCCGGTCGTGTGAGTTTATAATAATAATATAATATATTACAGGGTATGCTTTACATTGTTCTGCAACATAAAATGCAGCAACGTCAGACAGATTGTACGAACAATAAGAAAAACCATCAGCATTAAGCAGTATAAAAGGAAGTTAACAGCAATCCAGATATTTCTGAATTGAAAATGGTTCCAAGTCTATAAGGAAATCTTTCACATATTTTTGAAAATTTTCAAGGCTCTCACAGGATTTGATATTTTGTGATAATTTATTGAAAAACTTGATTGACGCATATGACGGATTACTTTCTTTGATCAACTATTCATTAACGTATAAGTTATTCCTCTAAATTTTGTTTTGTTTTTGAGGTAACTCTCTGTGTATAAATTTCATTTATACACAGGTTGACTCGAATAAACTAGTTGTAACACTTTTTTTCGATTTGTCAAAAGCATTTGATACCATTTCTTCCGAATTTCTTATAATTAAACTTGCAGGCCTAGGTTTCCCAAATAATCTATTGAACTGGGTGAAATCATATATGGAAAACCGTAGTCTGATAGTTAGCTGCAATGGAATTTTATCAAGTCCCAAAGATGTAAAACTAGGAGTGCCTCAAAGTTCTGTCCTGGGACCATTGTTGTTCCTCAATTTCATAAATGACCTGTCTGAATTCTTTTCTGAGTGTCACATAACCATGTTCGCGGATGACACTGCAATTACTGTGGCCGACAAAAACGAAGTTGAGTTGTCAGACAAAATAAATAAAATAATAGATAAATTCAGTGCTTGGTGTCAACGTAACAAACTCATTCTGAATAAATCTAAATCTGTTTCAATGAAATCATTTATTAGGAAAAATTTCAGCAGTGACTCTTCCACAATAAATGGTATTCGATCTTCCAGCGAGGTCTTGTTTTTAGGAACGTCTTTAGACGAAAATTTGACCTGGAGCGGTCATATTCAGAAGGTCTGCAACAAACTCAATTCCGCATATTACTCAATCAAACAATTGAAAAACACTCTAGATAATTTTGGATTGATGAATGTCTATTTTTCTATGGCTTATTCTGACATCAGCTTTAATATCATTTCTTGGGGATGTGCAAGGGAATTTCCACGAGTTTTTGTTGCTCAGAAAAGATTGCTGAGACTAATTTTTAATATAGATTTTCAAGATAGTTGTAGACCAATTTTCTTAAGAGAGGGCCTATTGACGGCACCTTCTTTATTTATCTTGAAGTGTGTCACTTTTGCCCGTAACAATATAACTGAATTTGTCACAAATGCGGATATACATGGTAGAGACACCCGTCATGGGAAACTGTTAAGAACCCCCTCACACAAAACGGCTCACTTTAGATGCTCCCCACTATTTAATACAACAAACTGTTATAATAACTTGCCGGCATCTATTAGGAAAATCGAGTCAGATAAACTTTTCAAAATTGAGGTGAAGAAACTTCTCTTACAGAAGTGTTACTACAGTCTTGAGGAATTCTTGCACGACACTTTTTCATGACATTTTGAGAGTATTTGCTCGAGCTTCTCCGATTTTTTATATAATACTTCTATGTTGTGAAAGTTTGTGGACGTGAACCATATTTATTGTTTTTGTATTGTTCAACTTCTGTAGTTTTATTTTTGTTTTTTAATTATGACTCAGCACATGTACTCAATGTACCAAAGTGTCAAATAAATAAATAAATAATCTTTTTCAATTATATTTCCAATCCCCTCTTTCATGACCTGGTTTGGTTCTAAAACTCACCTAATATCTGGCAGCAGTGACACACGAACACCTTCAACGACTTGAGAGACTGCTTTTCCTCTTGCTGGGCATCCTGTATGGTTTGATTCATTCGGGTCATGTTCATCGACGTGTTGTTCAGCGACACAGAGTTCTGCAAGTTGCAGCTTCCGGTGCTAACAGCCGAAAGCTGAGTGTTGTGCATCAGAAAATTATGCAAGGCGGTCAGGTTGGTCAAGATCGAGATGCAGTCTTCACTCGAAATCGTACTGAGGTTCTGGAAGTGCCCCAAAAAGTTTAGAAGCGCATTTCGAAAATATTTAAAAAACATAATTTGATCCCGGTTCTTTTAGTATTTTTAATATTCTATTAGTTGAAAAAAAATTCTTATGGATTTCAACATTGAAAATTCCAACTTCCCTGTCCCAACATTGTCATTAAGGTTCTATTACCGTTATAGTTTTTCCATCCACAGTTGTTCTTTCGATACACCTTCGATACCAGATTGGTCTCAAAATCCTACTCAAATACAGATAGAGTCCATTATGCTTGGCCGAAAATATGAACGGACATATCATGTCAAGAGTTTGGTTGGCTGGCGACATGGTAAGAGACAAATTCTGCTGAAACTGTTGTTGCTGCTGCTGAAACTGATGCGGAGCAGGAGTAGATATGATGTTTGGAGAGAATATCGAGGCTCCTGAAACTGGGGAAAAATTGTACTCAGTACTGAATTATAAAAAGATGGTTTTGTGAGTGAAGATCCCCAAGAAACTCATAAAATTAACGGAAGAGAAAATCATGTAGGTAATATATAACTTCTAGACACACTTCTAGGCTTATCAAAAAAGGGTAGGGCCCAATACTGAACCTTGAGGAACGCCCTAGAATACATATCTTCTCAGCAATAGTTTTTCTTCTATTTTAAGCTTCTCTTTACAGTCAGTAAAATAGAATTCAAATGAGTTAAGACACACTCCTCTAAAACCAGAGGGACTGAGTTTCTGCAGAAGTATTTAACGATTTATACATTTCCAGGCCTCAGTAAAGTCGAGTAACAGTGCAACTGCAAGAACTCTTTTTTTTTTTTGAACGAGACAATGTTTCATGATGAATGTTTGAGGCCCAAGACAAGCGTCTTATTCCGAAACTTCAAGGTCCACCATCGGGGATGGAAGTGTTCCATTAAAGTGGAATTTCATATCGTAACTCTTTCATATATTATATTGAGTAGCATTCCTATTAACGCCATTTGATTCCATTCCATAAGGAATGTTCGGAGTACAAACTGAATAAAAAAACATGATTTTTGTTCAATTAAATCTTCACATGAAAATAGTTATTTGTTGCTAAGTGAAATTTGGAACCTCTGGTGTCTGTTGAATATCAAATAATTATAACTATTAACCACTTACACATATTTCCTGAACTGACCGGCGCCAGTTTTGGTTCCCCTCCGAAAAGGAAGAACGCCCTTGTCGCATACTCCACGATCTCACTAGTGTTACTGGTTTCCAGCGATGCCAGAATCAAACAAGTGGCACACGCCTGATCATCCTTTTGGATGGCGAAGAAAGTCTTCAGCGCTTCCGTCTCTTGCCCGCGACTGTCCTTCAAGATTTGCCGCAACAAATCCACAGGTCTGAGTTTAACGAATATCTGAACGCCGTGAGATGTGAGAACGATAAACTTTTTCGGTGGTTCGGCATGCTGGCGGATAACCAGTGGAGGTGCTTCTTCGTTTTGCGTGGACAATAAAGGTACGGATTGATGAACCTTGAATTTCAAAGGCAGTAACGTCGTATATCAATGATTTCAACAATGATCAAAGATGTATTATTAAGACCGATTAAGGTTGAATATTCTTTTGAATCTGCTTTATTGTCCAAAGAATCACAGATCTAATTGACAAACACACACACACACCGCACATACTGCAGAAACACACACCACCCACACACTTGAATTTCAAAGGCAGTAACGTCGTATATCAATGTTTTCAACAATGATCAAAGATGTATTATTAAGACCGATTAAGGTTGAATATTCTTTTGAATCTGCTTTATTGTCCAAAGTATCACAGATCTAATTGACAAACACACACACACATACCGCACATACTGCAGAAACACACACCACCCACACACAACGTCCAAACCACATGCCACACACAACGTCCAAACCACATGCCACACACATACATCAACATCACATGCCACACACCATCCACACCACATACACTTCACCACATGCCACATAACATCCACACTTCACCATATGCCACACACCATCAACACTTCACCATATGCCACACCATCCACATGCCACACCATCCACATCTCACCACATGCCACACCATCCACATCTCACCACATGCCACACCATCCACATCTCACCACATGCCACACCCACCATCCACATCTCACCACATGCCACACCCACCATCCACACCTCACCACATGCCACCCACACAACACACGCCACCCACCACACAAACGACATATACCATTCACAAGACACCCACATACCTATCACACACCACACGCTATCCACACACCACAAGCCATCCACACACCACAAGCCATCCACACACCACTAGCCATCCACACACCACAAGCCACCCACACACCTATCATACACCACAAGTCACCCACTCACAAGCCACCCACCCACCTATCACACATAACATGCTACTCACACACCACAAGCCACCTACGCACCACAAGCCACCCACACACCACACGCTACCCACACACCACAAACCACTCACACACCACCCACACAACTATCACACACCACAAGCCACCCACACACCACAAGCCACCTAAACACCACACGCTACCCACACACCATCCACACAAGTATCACACACCACAAGCCACCCACCCACACACCTATCATACACCACAAGCTACCCACACACCACAAGCCACCCACACACCTATCACACACAACACGCTACCCACACACCACAAGCCACCCACGCACCACAAGCCACCCACGCATCACAAGCCACCCACACATCACAAGCCACCTACGCACCACACGCTACCCACACACCACAAGCCAGCCACACACCACAAGCCACCCACACACCAATCACACACCACAAGCCAGCCACACACCACATACGTGCGCGCGCCATACACATATTTACCAGAACCTACGGTGTAGGTAGTCGAGAGAGGAATATTTCAAGATTTTATTTCAAAATATCTATTTTCTAGTATGTATGTATCTCTCCTCGTTACAGTCTTCAGATAGGGTTTAACCTCGATATTTTCAGTTGAAAAACATCAAGTGATGAATTTACCTCAGCCACAGCCAGAGCAGGTCCATCCAAATTCACCGTAGTATAGGCTTCCATCAGCGTTTGACTGAAAGGAAATAAATCCGAACTTATACACCACAAAACGTCTTTCTCATTAACAGTTGAGATCAACAATGAATTCCTATCCCTGTATTGAGACACGTGGACCGCCCTGGGTCTCACCGTTACGTTGGCAGAATATCCAGGAGGCATCCTCACGTGAACGAGAGTCAAAGTGTATGGTCTCTGATTCGGCAGAAAGTTGGAAAGGCTCACCACTGACATGTAGAATCTGATTCCCGTTTGGGATACTGCGACAAGGTTCAGATTTGCAGACTCGAACGATTCTATGGCGGAGATGCTGATGATGGGACGGAAGTTTTGACTGTCCAAAGTCCTGAAACGGATTATCAGTAGATATTTTGAAATTATACACTTCCGATGCTCTTTCAGTTTATTTTCAGTACATACTTAACTGTGTTCATGGCCTGGTTGACCAGAGTGTTTTGAGTCATTTTCGCTATCCTCGAAAATGAATTTCCTTTTTCTCCCAGATCGCATACTTCGATGGTTCCTTTTTCGGTGAGAGTGTACAGAATATGTCTGCTGTTGTCTATAGAAATTTGGGTGATGCCATCATCTTCGCTGAGGGCGGCGTTCAAGAAGGAAGGAACTAAGAAGGAGAAAGAACTAGTGGATAAATTGACTTTCTTACATCGTTTGCCAAACCAGCCACTTTCAGCCTAAAATAAAAATTAATACAATTGAATCACTGTGTGAACATTCAACATTCAAAATTCAAACTGAGCTAGATTAATGACCCGCTATTTGATAACAATAAGTATGATTTTTGAATGTGATACACTAATTAGTGGTAAAAGATGTAACATAAGTTATATTTGCACAGCTTTTGTTTACTTCAATTACATAAATCAGGGTTTTCATTACTTCTATATAAATTTTTAATGTACGAAAACTGATTTTAGAGATAAACACAAACATAGAGAGAAAGAGGGGAGAGAGAGAGAGAGGATAGAAAGAGAGGGAAAGAGGATAGAAAGAGAGGGAGGGAGAGAAAGAGAGGGAGGGAGAGAAAAAGAGGGAGAGAAATAGGGAGGGAGAGAAAGAGAGAGAAAAAGAGGGAGAGAAAGAGAGAGAAAAAGAGGCAGAGAAAGAAATAACAGGGAGAGAGAAAGAGAAGGAGAGAAAGGGAGATTTGATTTGAGAAAGAGAGAAAGAGGAAGAGAGAAAGATAGAGAGGGAAAGCCAGAGAGAAAGATAGAGAGGGAAAGCCAGAGAGAAAGAGAGAGAGGGGGAAAGAGAGAGATTAATAAACATTTTCTTGGCATTATATGTAGAGGATTTTTCTATCAATGTGGTTTTTGGTATCAGCAACAATAACACATATTTATCACATCTTGTAGACATTGAGCCAATTTCAGCACTATATTTTTCATTCATCATAGACACACTTTCTAGTATAAAAATGTTCATCAAAGTTAATAATTTTTGTGCAATAGGGTTTAAAAGATTCTTGGGGTTTCCTTTTGCACATAACTGCCCGTTTTTGTATTACAAAAACGTGAATTAATAAAGCCTAGGAGGTGTTCCTAAGAAACAAATTCCATATCGGGTTATTTTGAAGTTGCTCACAACCTGTGAAGGGCAATATTGGTAGATGAAGTTCCAAATCATTTGCATATAACAACATACTAGTATCTAAATCATTCACAAACAATAAAAAAAGTAAAGGCCCCAGAATGAGGTCTTGAGGGACTCCAGAAATTGAAACATATGGGTTGGAAATAAAACAAAAAAAGCACTGTTGTTGACCTGAACACCTGAAGAACACAATTCAAGTGGTGTTTTATCAATAATCAACAATGAAAAAATCTTCACCTGATAAGAAATTTCGAATAAGCACCCCTCCTTAGTTCCAAAAAATATCCTGCCATCCTCAGTTCCTGTTATAATTGAAACAGTCGATCCGTCAGTGGGAATAGTAAATACCGGATCGGGTATAAGCTGTATTTCATCCGTACTTTCCCCGGGTTTTTCTGTGAATGTGACACCTAACACAACTATATCGACCGAAGTCGCTAAGATGAGCAGGTGCTTGATGAAAGCGTGAAAAACTCTATTTTTCGGTGTCACCAATCCCACACACAGGATAGTCTCGTTAATCCCATCAAAGTAAGCCAAGTCAGTGTTTTCTTCATATGTCCAGACATAAATATCGCTATCGACAGTCAGCCAAGCTCTATTGATTTCAGAAAATAAACCCATCATACAGTGACATTGAACATCTGGGAAAATCTGTTAAGGAAATAGACCCAAGTGGGAAACATCATTCTGTAATCTGAGAGATACAAAACTTGAATGTGATTCAATAAATTATTATGAGCCATCCTAAACCTGTTATACAGAGGCCAAAATAAATAAGTTGATTGCTAGGTTTCCCTATAAAGAAATCAAATAATGTAGGTCTGTGAAAAAAATAAGATGAATTTTGATTTTTCTCAAAAAATATTTATTTATTCATCAATTTCTTTCTAGTAAAAGACTGTGCATACATTTTTGCAAAGCCACTTCAATTAATTTTTAACATGGTCTTAAATATGTCCAATACTGAAATCGGGGGCTCCAAATAACATTCTGAACTATCGAACCATATTATTTCTGTCCAACTTTGCAAAGGTCTTTGAGATGTGTCTGTATAACAACATTTTTCCTTAAGTGAGAAATAGTATAACTTTATATCAGCATGGTTTCATCAATAAACGTTCAACAACAACTAATCTCATGTGTTTTACACAAACGGTCAGCACTGCCTTAGATAAACAGCTACAGGTGGATACAATCTATACAGACTTCTCAAAGGCTTTTGATGAATTGAACCATCAAATTCTACTGTATAAATTTTTTTCTGTTGGTTTCGATAGTCAACTGTTGAATTTACTATAGTCTTATCTTCAGAATCGTACACTATTTGTAGAATACAAAGGACACAAATCAACAGAATTCACTTCAACTGCTGCTCAAGGAAGTAATCTAGCTCCTCTTCCATTGTCTTTGTTTATAAATGATATTGTTTCAAATATCTCTAGTAACATATTACTCTTTGCTGATGACTTGAAGATTTTCAGACCCATTGAATCAACCGAGGACTGTCTTATTCTGCAGAAGGAAGTTAATTCGATACATGAATGGTGCATGCTAAACAGGCTTCCTCTGAATATTCAGAAATGTAAATTTATGAAATACACCCTCAAGCACAACAATATACAGTTTGACTATGCAATAAATGACGTCATATTAGAACAAAGCACAGAAACTAAAGATCTGGGCATCATGTTCGATAAGAAACTTAGCTTCACGTCACAAATCAATCAAATCACCTCTGTAAAAAAATGCTTGGCCTTATCTTCAAGACGTGTAAAGACTTTCAAAACCAATAATGTTTTAAAACACTTTTTAATGCATATGTCCGATCTCGTCTGGAATATTTTTCTATTTGCCTTTGGCTAGGATCAACGTGTTGATAAAATCCCCAGATAAAATCCCCTGTAAAATTCATAATAGTTTCTATTCAGAATGTGATATTTTTGTTGTTCCATTTGATCGCTTCAAGTATATAATTCGTAAAAAACTATTTTTTATGCAAGTCAAACTACAATCCAATTACAACCTCTGCTGATTTTATATGTACTCATACTTAGTCATAGCTGTAAACTTAATTATATTTGTCTTGTAATTGGGATTAGTCCTGTTAAATTTTTCATTTTTAATTAATTTCTATTTCGTACCCTTCAAAATATTTCCCCTCAGATATAATACACCTGTACTAGCGTTGGTATGTTCTTGAGCTCTCAGTATAATTATAATATTAAACTTATTATACCCATACTTTTTTGCCGGAGAATGAATATTTTGAATGTTTGAAGTAAATATGTACATAACACACAAAAAAGAACAATGATGAGATAATGAAACTTTGAAATGACGGCAGAATGTAATACACTCAGATGCATAAAAAATTGTCAGATTAAAATGTTAACAAATGTTGATTGTGAATACCTTTTTATTTGTAGCACGATTTCGCTAATTTTTTCAACAAATAAGAGGAAATTTATCCCAGATTTCCTAATAAAGACACACATCATGTTTCTATCAACTAGGATAAAGACACCCTGTGGTTTCTTGATAACACTCAAAACCATTCTGTTGCTTGGTTTATTTCCTATATATTATATCACGATTCGTTTCAAATTTATGAATCATTGAATAAAGCGTTGCATTCTCTCTGCTTGTTCGTTATTCTTCACACTGGTTGAAAAAGAAAAACATTGAACTAATTTTTCAATTTGAGGTGTCGCCGCCTCTGGCTTGGACAATAGCTTCCATTCTCCGAGGCATTCCAAGATTTAGCCTTCCAATATACTTTTAGGGCATGTTATTCTACTCCTCTATGAGCGCAACAGAAAGTATAAATCATTTCTTATTGAGAAACCTGTTCAATGTGAATTGATCTGGGATACATTTCCTTCATTCAATTAAAAAACAGGACAGGTTAACTAAATATATAGTCGTATTTTGTATTAACTGAGTTAGAACTACAACATATTCAACAAGACTGTAGGAAAAGGATACGTGTAAAATGATCTACTATTTCCGATGGCAGAGGCACGCTGTTTACGCATTTGATCTGAGTCATATTGTTGTTGACGAGTGGCGAAGCAGACAATGTAGGATAGTCATGATCTATGAGACCGCTAGCTGTGGACCCAGTTTGGGGCCCGATACCCATGAGATCAACGAGTTTCGGAGCGTTACAGTCCAGTTGCAATGACTTCTCAACGTTTCTAGACGCGTGTTCCATTCTATTCAAGGGATTTTGTGAGGTATCGGCTCTCTGATTGTGGAAAGTAGATGTATTCATGTTGGCGGGCGCTTGATTTATAACCTACAAATATTCGAACTTTGTCTTGAGCAGTTTCTCAAAATTTGTTCGTATCCAATATTAAAATAATCCTGGAAATTGGTGTATATACAATTATAAACTTAATAATAATTTGAGAACCATAATAACGAACTGAATTACACCACAATAACTTTTAACGAAGAACAAGTAGTTTTGAAATTAGGGTTTTTCTCCATTTTGAATTACGTTACTTTTCGGTTGGTAGTTTGACAATTTGTTTTTGAAGCCACGTTCAGAAAATACGGTCAGTTTTTATGTCGTCAACATAGTCAATTAACCAATCACTTTTCTTTTCTTCGAATTTACTTTCAAGTTCAAACTAGAGTAGTCGCCAAACGAACTTAATTTACGATAAGATTACGAATCACCCAGAATAACTTGAGAAAATCCAACCGAAGAATTCTTCACCCTTTTTTATACCTACTAATAATTAGATCTCTCAATAAATTGATGGATGTAGCCGTTACTAACGTGGTAGGAAATCATAACGAAGAAAAGAGAATTATATATTAAACTGTATAAGTTTGAAAATGTCCTTATAAGACGAAACTGCAGTTAAAATTAGTAACATTAGTTAGTTTTTTACCACTTGTTACTGCAGTAACAAGTGCAAAAAACATAGAAAGTTTCAATTCTCTTTTCTTAATAAGATCTCTACTTTTTGATTGTTATTTGATTTTATGAATAAGATAACTCTCTCATTTTGCGTAGGGAGTGAAGAAACAAGAACTAAAAAAAAAGGCAAAGTTGACAACTGACAAGTCTAGGCTGGTTATGTACCAAATCTTTACGGTAACGGAGCTATGATGAAAAACCCCAGTGTTTTTAACCGTTTGCTTTTGTTTGTCGAAAACTCTCAACGCGGGAAATTAGATTGACCCAACTTTGTACACATGTTGATAGATGGTGCAAGAATCGAAATTCATCACAAATATTTCGTTCAGATCTTTTATTTAGGGACCATAATGTGAAAAACAATATTTCGCCTAAAATAAGAACATTGAAAATTGAGTTGCCAACTTGTCCAACTTGACATTGTCAAGTAGTGTCACTTGTGATTTTACATAGGGAAAGAGCCCAAGTCATGACAACAGGGATATTCCATAATAGAGTATTCCAAGATGCACGTTCAAGATGCATGTAACTTCTAGGCTTTTGAACAGAAGTTATGTGCTATTATAATTTTGAGCATTTTGGATTTGGATCAGTGGAAAATCATACTGAGTGAGCGTCTAGCAACTTTCTTTCAATTTCCTTTCTCTATTTTACTCCTTCATAAGAATAATACTGTTTTTCGGGAGTTATAGAAGAACGAGAGAGTGTACAGTGAAAGGGAGTATTTCTCATTTCAATTAAATTCAATAATAGCGAAACTGTGTATTGGTAAATAGTTTGTGGAGATCCTTTGCCTCCTGCTATTTGGTGGTTCACATTCGCAAGATTTGACGAGCTTCACTGATCCTATTTGCACTATCGGCATCTGAAGTATCTGTTATACAATCCAATAAAAGCAGGCTTATGAGGAACACAGTAGACTTCCCACTGACATTGACATTCTGGGAATTTCCTCCAACTATCAACCACGAACTCTTTTTTACTCCTCCGGAAGAAACAGCTGAATCAAAAACATCTTCAAGTTGTACATCCTTCGAAGTATATTACCAAACAAATGTTAGACTACAGCAGAGATAAACTATGTTGTCTAACATGTCTAACATGTTCCTTAACAGCAGACACGCATTGTGAGCAACTCACTCTAGACCTAGTCTAATATAACCTACAAAATCTTATTTCGTACAGGTGTCCTATATATGTTCCAAGTATTGTTTATGATTAAATTTGAATGTATATTTTTGAGGAACGAGTACTTTTTGAGTCTTTCCGAAATTTTCCATAATTTTCAATGAGGATGGAAAAGAAGAAAGTCAGAAAGATCTCTTCATGATTCTTATTGAACCATTACCTGATCCGGTCTCGTAGGTAAGATCCTTGTTTAGCACCCTCATCATCTTTTTGGTTGTCTTTGATTCTTGAGTGCCCAACCATCAAATATAAAGTCAACTTTTTCTGTTCGCCATTTTCTTAGCTTTCCTATAAATGGATAGTGTCTATATGGTAACGCCATAATTATTTTGTGTTGATCTCTGATACTTTGTTGACCGCCGTCACTGCAAGTCAACTAAATGGAACCAGAGCCCAAAATACTAGCCTAGCATCACCGAGGAGACTTATGAAGGATCAAAACAACGCTGTTTGATTAACTATTACGAATGCTTTATTTTGGGCTCTGGTTTCATTCAACATTACATTTATCAGAGCAAAATGCACCAATGTACATCTTTCTAACATTATGAGATCGAGATCATTTGTTCTCAACGAGTAAATTATATGTCTTCTCAAAGTACACCTTTTATTTCATGTGTCTTCATTGTACTATCGTATGCAATTTTTGAATCAATTTGTATCAGAAACGAAACCCTTGTTTGAAAACTGTGAGATTTCAAGGAACAACAAATCTCTATCAAGCTACTTCACAAAACATAATTTCAATTCATGGAGCTCAAGTTCCAGAGTTTCTTCGCGCTAAAAATAAAAAAGCGGGAGAAGCTTCCACAAAACAATTAATTAACGCTTTGTCGAACATTTCGATGTCTTCGGGCGAAATAAAAAGGGGAATTTTCCGTTAAATTTTTCATCGCTTTCAGTTCGGCTGTCGTGAAATGATTGCGGCTCGAATTGGTGCAATTTAGACGTCAAGAGAGCAGACACAACCACCTGACTGTGGAGTGGCTCTTCATTGCGGCCTCATGCACACAGCGACCGAGAATTCATCCACAGCAATTTGCCACGAGGACCTTCGGTACAAATTGAAATGTGAAAGCCGATGTCTATGCACCACAACAGAAAATCAATATATCAATTAACTTATTGAAAAATGGGTTTGTTATGTTCGATTGTTCGGAAATGTCGAGTGTTATTCGGTGAATTCGGGTCAGAATAGACTGTTCGAAAATTATATCAATTACAACACATGAACGCCAGTGGCGGACTTAGTTATAAAAAGAGTGCCTTTTTATGACATCCGTTAGAATAATCTTGTTTCCTGTACTAGTTTGAATATATCCTTTGTTGAATGACAAAGAGGAAGATAAAACTGAAGATGATCACTTGGTTATCGAAACACGTGTCGAGGTGTAAAAATAACGATTTGGTGTTGGGAAAAAACTCCAGTTTTATTTACTATATAAAATGATTTGAAATCCCTGAAACAACTAAAAAAGAATAATTAAAAATGAATAGCTGAAAATAACAATTATATTAAGCAAAATAAACCTGAAATGAAATTATAGAGAAATAAACTACAAGTAAAAATATAACAATTGAATAAATAAAAACAAAATAAAAATAAAGGCAGGAAAAAAGAAAATAAAAATAAAAAGTGTTGAGATTCCAAGTCACGTTAGTTCACGAAGTTTCGATTGTTAGTATCTACAATCGTCTTCGGGTGATGACTGGACTGATTCCTCTGAGAGATGACTATTTATAGGTCGTACAAATACTTTCACTTATCCCCGCTTTCCATTTTCCGCTTCAATGGTTCCGTGGGAGATGACCGTTTTGGCGGGAGTTGGCCATTTTTCGCTTGATGATGGGTTTCCATATGTTGCGTATTTCTACGTTAGCCTGGCTGAATACGTTGTTGGACAACATGTATGCGGCTTCCTTGAATTTTCTCCTAAACCAATGTTCCTCTCTGTGCAAGATCTCAGCTTGGAACCACTCGATGTTGTGTTGATGGGTCCAAACATGGTCTGCTATTCCTGATTTGCTGGTTTCCCCTCGCTGTGTGTGCTTCTTGTGCTCGGAAATGCGAACATTCAATGGCCTCTTAGTTTCACCAATATAGGATTTTCCGCACTCACAGGGTATCCGGTAAATGCAATTTTTGGAATCGCAGTCCGCGTTTGGTGGCCTGGTTTTCGTGAGGCTGCTACGGATAGTGTTACCGGATCTGAAACAGGTTCTGATGTTGTACTTGAAGAAGAATTGGTTCCAATTCCCTTATTTTTATTTTGTTTTTATTTATTCAATTGTTATATTTTTACTTGTAGTTTATTTCACTATTATTTCATTTCAGGTTTATTTTGCTTAATATAATTGTTATTTTCAGCTATTCATTTTTAATTATTCGTTTTTAGTTGTTTCAGGGATTTCAAATCATTTTATATAGTAGACAATGGACGTCCGAACTAGTGAAATTCATCATGAAACATTGTCAATCACCTTCAAACAAACATCAGCTTTTTTTTTTAAATATAGACCGATATAATGAAATACCTTGTATTCGATAGAGCTTTTCAAAACGAATTCAATATTATACCAGAATCCATTATTCGAAAATGGTTTCTGGTAAAAAATAAAGGTTTTATTTTAATTCAAACTGTAGGCCATGCATGAAGAAAGAACTGTTAGTTACGTTGTTGTTTCGAGAAAAACCGCTATATTCAGGGTGAAGTTTTGATTTCGTTCGATATCTACTTGTCTAGATTCATATTAGTCGTCAAAATAGCTTTTTCAGAAATTAGTCTTCGCTTTGGATTTTAATTTCCTGTAATTGACTGTGAATTCACCAAAATAATTTATACTCTTGACCCATACTCTTGAAACAAATACTTCCAAGTAAAACAATGAATTACCGGAAAGAAAAACACATTGGAAACAAAACTTTATATATGAACACTGAATCATACAAAAACAATTCCCTCTTTTTAATTTGTATTCCACACATTTTTTACGGAATTGATTCGGATATCATTCACAGGATTCCTACACAATATAATCAATGAAAGAAGTAAAATTTCACTTACCTACATGGAACAGTGTCATCCTAAATGGCAGACATCTGATGTTTCGGATTAAGACACTTACCCCTTCAGTACCAACCTGGTTAACATTCATAAAATTACGACTTTGTTGTTGTTGAGTTGAATCTACTCATGTCATCGATGACAGTACGTAATGACGTTCATTCGCATATTCAATTCAATCCCAGCCATAGGAATCTTGTTCAAATTGAAAGGGGAATATTTTTACGAGTGATTGATTTCTGGGAATTCAATACATAATATGTTCTTGAACTATTAACGTCTTGACTCTACGCCGATCCAAGTGAATGCACTCTTGGAAATGAATACTCGTGATTCACATACGCTACGCGTGGAAAACGACAAGCGGTAAAAGAAAAAACAAATACTCGCGATTATTCTAGTTATTAACAAGACTTCGTTAAAATTAGTTGAAACAATAACTGATTTGGTGTAAGGTCCCAGTTACGCAGAAGTCATGTACCGCTACAAGTCAAGAGTGTCCGCATCATGACAAAGATTGATCGAAAACTTATTAAAATAGTTATGGATGGAAGGTGGGTTAGTTGAATTGCGAAATATCGGTACGGGTGTGTAAAAAACCAGTCTTTTAATGTATCTAAATTTCAGATTTCTTCCTCTCATGATACTGTTCATGACGAATGTGAAATATTCGGCAGCCGATGATGTGATTCTTAATCCTTATTTCCATTTTCCTGGAGCATCGGACGTTTTCATGGGAGTAAGTTTCATTATCTATTATTAATTTAAATTTCATTGAAAAACTCGTTTTCTTCGGACTTCTCGGATTTCTCCTTATATTTTGGCAACATTTTTCATTAATATTTGATGATTATAATGAATCAACGGGAAAATTATAGACATTATACAAGCAGTTTGATCGATTTTTTATCTGAGTTTCAACAGAAATTGTCTGCATTCTGGTTGGAGACAATTTTATGTTGAATGTTGGAAAACAAGTTGCGAGTTGGACCATGGCTTTTCACAAATATAAAAATGTCTCATTCTGTATACGTGACTGTTCAAAAAATGAGATGAATGTTTGAATTCCTTTGCCTTTGCTTGTATATAAGTCTTCACATCATTTCCTCCAGTTTTGAGGATTCTTCCATCAAAAATGATTCTGAAGTACTGTTAACAATTGAAGCCTTTATTGAAGTCCACAAAATTGTCGACACAAGAGGACTTTCTTCAATTTTAGCATACACTACAATGTTACTGAAAAATAATCAAGTCAATATAAGAGTTCTTGTGATCGTTTTTTGAAAATTATCGAAAAATCAACTCTGATAACATTTCTTTCAGATGATTACAACAATCGCTGTACCTATAGAAGCAGGAACACCCGGAGAAGTACTATTTTCTCTGATATTTGAAGCAAATTATGAACTTCCCAGTAACGAGACTGAATTCAGATATCCAACAATCGTTGGAGCAGGATCGTCATCTGCCCGAACATTCATTTATGGAATTGTGAAAAGAAAAATAGAAGAGTAAGTTTCCATCAACATAACCTCTTTTCAAACCTCACGGTATACTAACAGTAGCCTCTTCATACATTTTGGAAACTATCTCTTCAATGAACACATTTTATTAATGGCCAATTCCATCATATATCCACGAATTACGGTTTGAACTGTTTGACCATCCGCCTCACTCACCAGATCTAGCCCAAAGCGACTTCTTCTCGTTCCCTCATCTATTTAGACATGTTACATAGATGGGAGCATCGTTGGGAGAAATGTGTAGAGTTAAAAGGAAACTATGTTGAAAAAAAAAACTGAAAAAAATTCTTGTATCTTTGTAAGGTCTGAAACATTTCAGGCCACCCAATCACCTGCCAGTCTCAATTGAAGGAATCAGGCTGTACAATAGATTCAGAAAATATGTCAAAATGCTTTTGGGGTCTATTATACAGTTCAGGATTATTCCGATCATACTTTCGACTCTTGATGCACTTACGAACTGATATTTATTCGCTTAGTATATTCATATTGTTATGTTCACTATTGTAGTTATTTTTTTAATGAACATGCTTTTATTAGCTTCACCTGTATATATGTATGTTTGTTTGCTTGTAACTCTCAAGCTCGGGATCTGTATTTGATAGAATTACCGACATTATTGCTTGATCTATTCTCGGGCAGATGGCGCTCTACGTAACCTACTTGATATATCGACATTATTGCTTGATCTATTCGCGGGCAGATGGCGCTGTACGGCTGATTGATCCCAAAGTTTAGATAAAATAAATATAATTTAAAAAGACTAATCACGCTTTTGTAGCATACGAAACTAAAAAAATGAAAAAATGAATATAGTTTAAAAAACTGAAAAACACGCTTTTAATGAACATCGAACTAAGAAGTTGAAAATTGTTTTCAAAAAATTAGCTTAAAACAATAACTATCGAAAAATACTAATATTATTGTGAAAAAAGCGTGGGCGCTTTGTGTCATATTTTTTGTATATCAAGCGCCCGTCGCTTTTTTCACAATAATAATAGTATTTTTCATTCGTTATTGTTTTGAGCTTATTTAAAAAAATATTTTAACTTTTCAGTTCGATGTTCTTCAGAAGCGTATTTTTTAGTTTTTTAAACTATATTTATTTAATTCGTACTCATTTACTTACCGAAGCTCTGTATCTTATATCTTTATTTATATTGTCTCTTTAATTTGTTTTCATGTTTTTGAAGGATTTCACCGTAGTGTGTGCTGGTCAGGCCCTATTCCCCGAAGCCCCGATACATTCGGCAGAGCGCGTCAGCATTATCAACCAATGACCACTCCCCACACCGTGGGTTAAGTGATCATTGGGTCCGAGAATCATGTGCCCGGAGCAAGCGCACCTTATGTCAGGAACTTCTATACACATCACGCGACTGCGGTAGACTAAGGTGTTGAAGACACCATCCTGGCAAGCCATGATGAACCCCTCAGTTTCTGACTTCAGCCCACTCGACCTGAGAAAAGCGAACGTCAGGCGCTTTGATAAGCCAAGGTCTCCAATGTTATTGAAGAAGACCCATGCATTGGCTAATCCTTGTGTCTCCGCAGAAGTAAGGTGATCTCTGCGGCTTTTATCTGAGCTTTTAGCTGAACGGGTTCCAACTCGGTGACAGAGTTGTGGTCACCTCGTTCAGAGTAGACAACTATACCAAGTTCATCAGCTTCTCGGCCAGCTGCCCTGAGGAGAAATGCTCCAATGCCTGCTCTCTCATGGTCACGGACCATGCAGAGAAGGGGATCCCAACTCCTGACGACTTTACAGACTGTATCCAGTACCATTCTGTCATGTAGACACTCCAAACTCAAAAGTCCATGGCCTCCCTGTTGTCGTGGAAAGTACAACTGTGGAACGGACGATTTGGGATGCAAACTCCTATAGAGATGCATCATTTTTCGGGTCTTTACGTCGAGTTGATACAGCTCCTCCCGAGTCCACTTCACTACTCCAAACGAGTAGAGTAAGATTGGAACGGCAAGCATATTTGTTGCAGCAACTTTGTTCTTTCCCGACAGTTCCGATGACCAGATCTGTCGAAGTTTGTGCTAATACTTGCCGCGGAGAGAGTTTTTCACTGCTGTTACCTCTTGTGAGTTGCGTTGTTCCACCCCGAGGTAAGTATACGTCTCTCCGGCATCCAGATGGTGTAGAATGCTTCCATCTACGAGCTGCACATCCTTTCCGTAGTCCCCACATCGTCCTCTTTTGAGATGGACCATTGCACATTTGTCTATCCTGAATTTCACCACCCTCAAGGACTGATGGAGATCCTTTTCTCCAGATGCATAAAGTTTAAGATCATCCATATAAAATAGATGGGTGATCTTGTGCCTCCGGTTTCCGGGGGTGCCACAGTTATACCCTCGAGTATTTCTGAGCGCAACGGATAACGGCAATAGTGAGATGCAGAAGAGAAGGGGATTGAAATACACCCCTTCTGGAAGTGGCCCACCCTGTTTGGACTCTTGCTTGACCAGATGTTATGGTGAAGCGAGTTCGCCAAAGTGGTATCAGTTGTTCAATGCATCTCCCTATGTTGACGGGTACCGCAATGCATTTGAGCAAATGCAAGATGATCTCATGCGAAATTGTATCAAATGCCTCACGGTAATCGATCCAGGCCATAGAGAGGTTACGCTTATATTGTATCGAGTCCTGCGTTACATATATTGTTAACAATAATAATAAGACTTTGTCTATAAGATGTATTTTTCTTCTGACAATAAAGTATATTTGATTTGAATTAGTCCTGGTTTTGATAACGGAGAAAAAACTGCTGGAAAACGAAAATTAACTTCTGTAAAAATGACGAAATTCGGCCAGGATGATTTGAAAATATGAATCCCAATAAATTAAATTCCCAATAAGTTAAATCGAATTCCAAATATTGACATGCTCGTGCTTCGAGTATTTTGTTTAGATATTCAATGTTTCATACATTTTCAGGTATGGATACAATGGAAAAGAATGTCTACTGAGAACAATTTGTGAAGCAGCTGAATATTCTACCGAAGGCACTGGAGTGCTAGGAGATATTTTACATATATTATTGACGTAAGTATTTTTGTCTATTTCTATTGAATTTCGAAATATGAATGATTTCATTCATATTAGGTTACGCAATCTCACCTTTTTTCAAAGGTTCTTCTTCATGACTGAAAGGATGATATTAATGTCTCCGGAATTCAAAATGAAGTGGAATACAAAATTTGTTTCTCCAACTTTTTTTCTTTGCTTTTCTCCTTCTCAGCTTACCATGTTCAGGGTGTCTGAGATACCTCTTTCTTAAGTTATTGAGACATCAGAACTGTATCGACCTCTCTATAAAATATGACCGATTGATTGAATATTCAATATGCCAAATTGACCTGCTGATTGATTGTTGAACAAAGTTTTATTTCATGATTCTTCGAGGAGAGTTCTCGATTTGAAGGAAACTGTTGATAGTGAATAACTGCCTGGATAGGGATTGGATTTCAAGCACTTTGTTCGTCTCCATAATTGAAAAGCATTTTTTGGTATATTCATGTAGTCACAATAACATTAATTCTTGGAATTTATTTTCAGACCGTCGACTTCTAGAAAGGAAGATAATTTGAGAGAATATGAGGAAGCTGAAGAGGCTGGAGGAGAGAAAAAGTGCAAACCATACCAAACCAATTGCTCTTTCAGCCTACTGGATACATTCAGTAGGATAGGAAATATTTTTGAAAACATAAATTCGGAACCCCTGAGTACTAATAAACTGGATACTAAATAAAAACTGTTGCTTAGTATAATTCATTTGAATATTCCTTCTGAGAAATGTGGGCCAAAAAAAGAGGAATCCACCGAACAAAATGCAATTTCACTTATTGAATAAATAGTTTCAATATTCTCCATCCTCTCGGTATATTCTCATCTTCATTCTTTTTAGTTATCAGTCGATAAACCTCATGGCTCCTCTGTATAATAATACCGAACTTCAACCGTTCCTCTAAATTCACCAAAGCTTGATTCATTCTGGGTAATATATTTTATTTGAAGCCACAAGTGGTCTTCACTGCAAAGGTGGAGAAGCTACTATAGAAGTAAGTTTGACATAGCCCAGGAAGTTTTCAAAGTTTGGTTGGGATTCTGAATTTGATGAAATGATTTTGTCAGCTGTTCAGTTGAAATTGCAATGGACATAAATGTATAGAAATTAATGCAAAATGTAGAAAATAATGAAACGCATCTAGACCAATTCAAACCCTGCATTTCTTTATTTTCGATTGAAATTATGAAACATTCTTTCTTCAAGATCACTCCATTGAAAATTCCAAAATGGCAAGCACTGACCTTGAATTGACTTTCAAATATTTGAATCAATAAATAACAGTTCATTGATTCAAACAATTTGGATGAGAAACATGGAGAATCAAGAGGTGTTGCGCTTGTTATTTCTAAGGCCTTTGACCATGTGTTGGTTTGATGGCCAAACTTCTATGCTATGGCTGGTCGGATCATTTTTGTGTATGGTTCTCCAGCTTCTTGAAAGAATGTTGCCTGCAGGTGGATGTTGATGGGTATCTCACGAATATTATCTGCGCTACTACGACCAATTACATGTGTTGTCAACTTGATTCTGAAATCTGAAAACAAAGAATCAACACTTGGAATATTCCTTGATCTGAGCAAGGCGTTCGACTGCGTCTCTACTGACATTTTATTAGAAAAACTGAGATAATGATAATCATAATAATAATAAAAATTATGGAATGATGTCCTCTCTACTCTCGAATCTCAATATCATACCGGCTTGCCGCACTATGGCAGAAATCTTAGCCGCACAGATGCAGAAGGCTGTCATTCTTGGTTCACTGCGCTTGCTGAGGGCACATGATTCTCGGACCCAATGATCACTTACCCCACGGTGTGGGGAGTGGTCATTGGTTGATAATGCTGGCGCGCCCTCTCGAATGTATCGGGGCTTCGGGGGATAGGGCCTGACCAGCGCACACTACGGTGAAATAATAATAATAATAATAATAATAGCTTTATTATAGATGCATCATATCTAAATGAGAGAAAGCAATGTGTATCATATAATGAAGAGCTCAGTAGCTTACAAACGATATTGAATGGTGTTCCACAAGGTAGTGTGCTTGGGCCACTACTTTTCTTGATTTATATCAATGACCTGCCAAATTCACTGGCAATGTTTACAATGTTATTTGCGGATGACACTTCCTTCGCCATTCGGAAAAAAAATATTGAAGAGTCATCAGAATTAGAAAAGCGAGTTATTCAAGAAGCTACGGACTGGTTTAATGCGAATAGCCTATGTGTGAATAAGAGGAAGACACAAACAATTATGTTCTCGCCGTCTCCTAATCTCTTAAATAATGTGAAATGTCTTGGTGTAATCATTGATTCAAAGTTAACTTGGAAACCCCATATTGACAAACTAGCACTACTCTCTATCATGCAAGGTCTATGCAATCAGGCATATGAAAAATAAAGTCGGTAATGAAGCTGCCCATCATGCAATGTTTCATAGTTCCTTAATTTATGGATTGATAAACTGGGGTACATCTGTTCATATCTCGAGAATATTTAAAATTCAAAAAAAAATCAGAGCTTTAGCTGGAATAGGTCAAATGGAGATCTGTAAGAGTTGGTTTATTAAATTTAATATATTAACTCTGCCATCATGTGTAATATATTGCAATTTGATGCACTTACAAGAAAATTTACAAAAGTTTACTATAAACGGTAACAACCATTCATATAATACTAGGAAGAAGGATAATATTAGATCACCAAACCAAAGACTAGAAATAACAAGGATATGTAACTCATACATATCATTGTACAACTCACTGTCCCAATCAATGAAAAATGCAACCCTCGCTAATTTCAAACGGAAACTGAAAAAACATCTCTCAGATAATGCTTACTATGATGCGTCAGACTTAATAATAAATGCTTTTATTGAAAGGTTACTCAGTACAAGGGATACTAATCTAACCTAACAAATGGCAGAATTCAACGTCTGCGCATGACGAATCAAGGCAGAAATTGCTCTTCCATCCAACCAGATCCCCGAATACTGAATTCACATATGGAATTAAAAGCAACGAGGAGTTACCATTTTTGGATGTCTTATTGATTAGAATTAGCCAGACACAAAGTACATCGGTCAGACTAAGCGAGCCATTAAAACACATTTCAAAGGACACGCAGCACATTCGATTTTGGAAACCAGAAAAATCTAGTGCCGTTCAACCCGCCTTAAAGAATAGCAATTAAATGAATAGGAACTGTCTAAGGTGGTTGAGATCGTATATTTCACCAGATGTAGATATCTTCAAAACGCATCTTTCGCGCTCTCGAACCTCCCCAACTTCCCGGGATATACGGAAAACCGTTATTACTCGAAACGTGTGAGACAGGCAAGCATGATGGAGTGCCAGCGCAGAGGGATGATATCCAATGTCAGTAATAGCCGTAGCGACATGGAAAACCACTAAAAATGTTGGCCGCCCTTAAGATGAGAATGAAAAACATCCCGGAATACTTTATTGTTTTAATTGATTGCTTTTTTACGACCATGTAGATTATGCACTAGAACTGTGTTAACTAGGGGTGAAACGCGCCAAATCAAATCGAGGGGGGCGGTTTGGATTTCGGTGTGGAACAAGACGAGAGAGAAGTTGATTCGATCGGGTTTAGCTTGACTTACCAGTAATTAATGATGGATTGCACTGCAACTGATTTCATTAATTCGTGGCTAAAGCGCTGAAACTAACTTGCACATGGACCTACGAATGGAATATTATTATCGAAGTTAACCTATTGCTTGCTCAGTTTGAATGGAGCAATGATGGGACAAGATATAACACATGATAACCAATTGAATTGGAACTTTATGTGGTGGAACAACACGGTGCGGTCTTGGATTATGGAGGCAAAACTTTTTTCTGGTATCACCAATAAGCCCAGAGTCAGAAAATGGATAAAATCAAGTGACAAGAGAACTATCGAGAGTGATTACAGAAGAAACCAAACTTTCATGGATTATTTCCTTCAAACCGACGAAATGATGGAAAAACTGAAGGCTAGGATATGAAAACAAAGTTTTACAGTGATAAAACTTTTCTTTTCAACAGTGACAAAACTGATAGCCATGAAATTAATATCTAGCTGTGATTATTCTTAAATCACACAAAAACTTCGGAAAAAATTATATTCATTTCTCAACATAATCTCCTTGCAGCTCTATACACTTTTCCCAGCGCCGTTCAATAATTTCGATATCGTATTTATAATAGGAACTGACTTGCTGTCTTCGTAGTTGTAAAATATGTGACCACTGAGCCATTTTTTCAAGTTTGGGAACAGAAAATAATCCAAGGGAGCTAACTATACTTCGTTAATTTTGGTCATTGCGATAATGGATGTGTGGGCTGGTGCATTGTTTTGATGCCTCATTTGGTCGTCTTGGGAGCTCGTATGGCCCCATTTAAACTCTGCTACCCGCTATTTTACTGTTGTAAACAAGGCAGAAAGTGATACGATAAAGAAAGTGATAGGCATATGGAGCACGAATGAGAGTATGAGAGTGGTCAGTGATTCTGACATGGCTGTGGAGAGGAGGAATGCGATACGAGTAAAGAATAAAAGGGTGACAATGATTCAGAGAATGATTGAGGCAAGGAGAGAAGGGGGGCATGGCAGAGCACGTGCTTGAGAGATGCATGGAGGGAGAGAAAGTCGGATGACGCGAATGGAAAGAGCGACTTGAGCGAGAAAAGAAAAGGGAATGGATTCACATTGCGAATGAATGGGCAGAGAGTGTGGTGTGGGAGGAAAGGGAACAATGAGAGGCAAACTGCTGAAAGTAAAACTTGAGAGGAAAGGTGGTGAACGGATCGCGCCCCGGTCCTGGTATGGACTTGGAGTGTGAACCCAAATTGTTGTTTAGTTTCTGGACGCCAGACATTGTAAAATGTAGGTTATTATAGTTGCGTTTTTGATAGTTTGTTAGTCATTGAAGATTATATAGGGAATCAGTTCTGGTTAAGTGTACTAAAAAAAAAAATAATGTAAACATTTGAGTTTCTGTTAAAATTTTATTGTAATTATGTTGATTGGGAAACAAATACAAGAGGGTTTTTTACCCCGCTGGTTTCGTTCCTTCGTGTGGCCGGCGTTATGCGTCGACTGCACGATGGGGGGTGAGTTCGGACGAGTAGGGGTTCCCTTGACAGTGGTGGCGCTAAATAGAGATAATATGCCTAGTTGTAAGGCTTTAGAGCCAGGCCAGAGAAAGGCGACAGCATTATTCATGTTGTAAACGAGGGAGCAGATTAACCCAGAGTAGAATCCAGTTCGGATTTTATATTGGTTGGGCTGATGCCTTTCAAATAAGAGTATTGAACCACTTCTTTACGATTTTCTCCATCTTCATAAATTCACCGAAAACGTTCGATTTTGATAGCTGTCAAACAAATACTCAACGACGCAGTGTCCTCATGCTCAAATGAAACCAATGAAATCGTACATTTGAACATGATTGTGACTGAATATTGAAACTTGGCACAAATGATCCGAGGAAATTCACAGATTTGAATTGATTTTATAATTATGGCAGTGATTAGACCCTAACTCTATCGAGGAAACTCAAATAATGTTCACCAATATAATTAACAGATACAAGGGACCAAAATGGAAAATTAATTGCCACATTTCATTGATTCACATAACCTGTCACAACAATCCTTCAATTCAATACCAATAATTTATAT